CATGCATTTCTCCATATTGTTGCCCATTTAATAAGGCAGAAAAGCATTTTATTACTCCCTTCTGATGAATATACAAGTACCAAAACCCAAAGTCAAGCAATGAAACAAACAGTAAATTATTTTCAAACCTCTAACATCAGTGTTGATTTTTTTTCCAGCAGTTACTGCCATCAATCTTTTTAGCTTAGCAGCAACAGATTCAAGAGAAATTTCCTTTCAAACTTTGTAATGTTTAAACTGAAAGAATTAACAGAAGAAATCACTTTTACCTAAACCAAATCCACACAGTACAAGGTCCCATGAAACTGGATAAACTGAAATGAACTTTTCCTGCAAATGCCTTCTCTGAAATTCTTGAATGATCGCCTATGGTTAAACTGGAATGCATTTGGAAAGGTTTGAATTGAAACACAGCTAAACCAAAAGACATTTTGGCTTCCTACAGAGGTATAAAGGATAAAAAAGGGATTTTGGTGGACAATGCATTGTTATTGTGAATTATGCAGTGAGCTGAAATGACACTGGAATAGTCATCAAAGTTCCTAAGAACTGCTCTCTTCCAGATGAGCTAATAGAGCTGCTCTAGACTTGGAGGTTAACTGAAATCAAATCTAAGAGTGCTGTGAAATGCATTTGCTGTATTTGCCTTTCAGAAGTTAGAGGTGATTCTGCTGACTCGACTTTCAGAATCATTTCACACCACTATCTGCATGAAGATGGACACAAAGCTTTACATAAAACCTATCTGGCAAGCTTTCACCTTTGCAAATATATTTTCAGGAAATAAGAAGCATTTGTCTGAAATCTATGAAATCATTCACTGAATTTTCAAATATAATCAGTCGGAAGGAGTCACTGAGGAGTAGTATTTCAAAAACAGGCTTAGAGGATAAGTGACTGTAAAAGCAGCCAGTCCTGAGATTAAAGACCCTGGAGGTTCTTCCCAGCCTGATGGAATGAAAGGAATACCCTAGAATTGAAGTGGCTTACTGTTGTAAAGAATGAACATCACTTCATTTTTGCTATAATATGACTATGTGTCATTTTTAGGACCCATAACTTTTTCAGGTATGGTGCTAATATTAATTCTTGATTGGATACAGAAGTGGCAACTCTCATTGGGCACAACTATACATGTCAAACTGTGAAATAATAAGTGCGTGTTCTTTGAAATGAGTTAGTATGCAGCAGAGGGCTTTATTTTCCATTATCAATAACTGATCTATAATTTCAAAGAATTGTTCTCACTGTATTTTTTGAAAGGAAAAAGAAATGTTCTACCTTAAGGCTACATTTTTTCATTTGGTAAAAGACCACAGAGACATAACAGGATGAAGTCTGCACAGCCCGTGGCTGTTGTGCCTTTTTCCAAAGATCAAGCCTTATCCAGAATTGTGCATCTTCCACGTTGCTAGAAGAGCCCACACCATGTGGCAGGCCATAGCTGTGCTAGTGTGAGCAGCAGAAGTGCAAGCAGAAACACAAACATGAGCTACAAAACCAGGAAGTACTTAGCACTGCCCTTGACAGCTCTGGATCTAAGACCATGCTCCACTGAAGCTCAAACACTCCAGTTAATGCAATGCGGAGCTGGGGCTGATTTCAAGAGCACAAGAGTCTAAGTTAGTGTTGGTATTCAAGTGTAACTCTAGCCCACGAGCCTCAATAACAAAAGTCTCACTGATTTCAATTAAAGGAGGTTTGGGTCTATTTACTGTAACTCAGTCAATTCTTGGAAAAATAATTAATTCCTTGTCATGCCTCATGTGTATTGATTTTTGTAATTACAATGAAATTGGAGGCAAGGATGGGAGGAAGGAAACGCACTGGATTTACGTTTAATGTGATGCACAGGCTGTCAAGGGCAAAAATTGAGATGCATACTCATCCTCAACACACTCTGTTGTGCTTAGGTAATGAGGGGCAAACGCGCTGTAAAGAAGAATCTAAAAATCACACTGATGTGCAGAATTCAGTACTGTGGTGTAATGAGCTTTATCTATGGCAATTCCATAGGACATAGAAGAGATGATCGAGGGGAAGAAGATATGGACAGGACAAGCTTAAGGTGTATTAATGACTAAGAAAGAAGACAAAGAATTAGAACAGAGCAGAAAAAAATACAAGCTGTTGCCGATGGTAAAATAGCAAGGAGATAATGTATACATACAGAAAAAAGGAGAAAAGAAAATACATATGGCTTCTCTTGGCAATTATGCTGTTAGGAAAAAGACAGCATGAAACCATTTGAACTTCGTTTCCACTGTGTGTTCGCTACAATGGCACTCAAGTTAGATTTTTTTTTTTAACCTATTTGACTTTCTAAGCAATGTTTCTCCTTTTGTAAACATGGTTGTGCAAATGGTTACCTTGTTTCTACACACATAAAAAGAGATTTGATAATGTTATTCAATACTGACAACAACAAAATGGTGACAATACTTATAAAGATGCTCTAATTACTCACAAAGACACAGAAGGAGATTTAGGGCTCATTTGTCAGCGGCACCACTACTTGAAGAATTATTTCCATACTTTTGCCTAACATTATCCACTCTCCAATTCTACCAAGGGGAAAAAAAGCTATATTTTACATAATAGCCCAGCAGACCAAGGTTCAAAAACAGTCTCACATCTAAACATTAGAAAGAAATTACATATATGATGAAAAGGCAGAGTTTCAAAATGTGAATCAGTTCTGCGTTCGTGCTTTCATCTAAGAGCACAAGATTTTAAAATTAAACAAAGAGTGCCTGCCTTCAGTGTGGGGAACTAATTTGCATCAAGTTTGGGCAGTCTCTTTAAGCTGTTGTGTTAAAAGTCAGCACTCTAAAGCAAGCTTTCCTCTGGTGACCTACATGCACCATGACAAAAGAGGCTGCAAACTCATACTTAAAAAAAGAAAAAGAAATAAATTATCTCAGTAGTATGGCAGTCTGCTGCCAGCACTTTTTGAAATGAAACGATGTTCTTCCCGGCTTTGACAGAGCGCTGTGCACAAAGTCGTAGCACAACAAACTGAGTCAGTAATAAATAACCACAGGACAGTGATTGATGATGGCCAATCTGTCTCCAATGGAATTATTGTAACAATACTAAAAATTCTTTCCCGCATATTTAACGTTTTGTTTAGGGGTTGTTGATACTGCCAGAAAACCCTTTTGACACAACTAGCATAAATTGTAGTGGGTGTTTCGACGCTGAAGCATCCGAGCCCAGCCTACTAAAAAAGCTGTCCCTAGACAAGCTGCTGTATGCATAAAATACACCCGTGGTTCTCAGCTGGGAATGAGTTTGATCTATTCTATATTGCATGCCCCGTTACTAAGGAAGCTTATGAGGTGGATACGGATATAAAATAGGAACATGAAGAAAAAAATAACACCTTAATAAAACGAGCAATTATGTTTTGCCTAAGTCCTCATGTGTCAACAAACAGCAGCACATACCATCACAAATTCAGTAAAATTCTGCCTATTTCAGTAGGTGGGAAAGGAAAGAAAAAAAAAAAGTGTCTGTTAGGCACGTTACAGTAGAGGATTTACTCTGGAGAACCTGACAGAACTGACTCAGGAGTGCTGGTTGCTGTAGTGCTGTGACTGATGGCAGATGCAGGCAAAGACAAGGGATCTGGAGCTGCTCTATGCCATGATCTAATGCTTGGCACATGGACAGCTGAGGAGCTTAATGCTACCAGTCCACCATAACCTTTCAAAATGCAACCCAAGTCCTGAGCAACACATTTTGTGCAGATTTGCTATTTGTGAGTGAATCAATAAATTCTAAAAGCATCAAGTTAAAAAGGATGCACAGAGAAGTGTGTTCAAGCATTTGTGAAGCATTACAAGATTACTCTTTGAAATACATTCAGCATTTAAATTCCATTTTTCTTAGTTCACAATCCTATAACATCAAATGCACACCATAATATTCTGCGTGTTTTTCAGACCCAGATGTCCATAACATGGTAAGTTCCAGGCAACTTACAAAATTCATTTTTAAAATGAGTAAGAAATCAGAAACATATTTATTCTCATATTTCTCAAACATATTTATTTGTCTAAGTTGCTGTAAATTTCTAGTTATGCAGACCTGAGCCTAATTTGTTCTCTTGATAACTCACAGAAATGACATGACAGCACCAATTAGATGACACCCAATATTGAAATTCAAGTTGTAATACAAACATGTAAACAACAGGACTGCAGACACAGACAAGAAATTAAAGTGAAGCCTAGAACACGTACTTGAGCAAGTGGAGAAATAATGAAAGCAGAGATGACACAACGGGCTTTGAAGAACCATACTTAGATATGAGCTCTGCTCAAAACAGGTCTCTGTGTGACAGTCTGGTTATACAGTAACCTACTCTTCCTGCAGAAAAATCATGCACAAGAGAAGACTCCAAACCTTCTCCTCTGAAGTCACTGGCAAAACTACCACCAACTTCAGTAGGAGCAGGAGTCAGCCCACAACATTTTGGATCAGAAACAGTATTTCAGAAGAGTGCATGCAGATACCACAGCTGTACGAAATGAAATAGGGGAAATCCAGCAAGCAATATAGAATATTATAAGCTAACACTATGAAAACTCTTTCTGTTTTCCACAAAAACGCATCAATTATCATAATTATCTGAGGCAAGTATGCTAAAAAGATATCTCTTTTGTTTCAATGTAAACTGTGTTTTGTTTTCGTACTGCTGAAGTACATTAGAGGGAAGGGCACACTCTGCTGGTCAGAAGCACCAGTTACACTAAAAGCTTTTTAATGATATCATGAGTACTAATAAACAAACCTGGCTTTATGACACCTGACTTGTAGTGGTGTTCTTCACTAGGCTGCTATTTGATTTACCTTTTTTACATTCTGAGTATTAAAAGAAAACAGTCACAATGTTACGTATGGACTTTCACGTGTTTAAATATAAACTTACATGCTATATAGAATACTTTATTTCCTGAAGATCATTTTTTGTAATATTGTTTAAAACTCTTTACCTTGGGCTTTTCATCCAGTATTTGCTGACGAATCTCCTTGTGTTTTTCTATCAGTTTCTCCTGTCTTTTACTCTGAGCATCCTCTAGCTGTAAGAAAACAGCAGAGAATCATTTCAGATACTGCATACTCTTTTCTTCCCACCCCTTCTCTAGCAGTAGTTTGTATTATTTTGCTTCAGCTTTTATCCCGTGAGCTGTGTGAGATGAATCCTGCTCCCAAAAGAAAAGTCCTAGAGCCCTAAATGAACACGCTGACAAATTCTGGGCCCCATCTAATACAGTGCTCCTAACTATATGCCTAACTGCAATAGGAATTAAGCACACTTCACTTGCTAATTCTTTATGTTGTTTCCTGAATCAAAGCCTCTGTAGGCAAAAATGGGCCAGCTTTTGAATTTAACTCTCTCTGAAATAAAATTAAGAGAACATTCAGTAGCAGCATGTTTCATAACAACTTCCCACATCAAAGCACTCTTGCTTGTACTGTCATCTCAATGTAAAACACGTATAGCTACAGAAATACTAACATCTGTAATGAAATTCTGTGACTTTGATTTACAGAGATCTCAGAATGCTCTGCGTACTTCAGTAACTGTACAGGTCTATTTGAGCTTAAAATATACTCTACAATTAACTGTTAATTGACTTTAAAAGTTCTGTATGCAATCTTTACATTTATGAAAAAGCATGCCAATTAAAAAAGCCTCAAAATTAAGACACTTCTCAGTATCTGAAAGAAACCATGGAGTATATATTCCATGAATAAACACCAGATCAAAAAAAAGAATTACAACTTTATTGAAATATGTCTTCTTTACTGTCTCTTCCTCTAAATACTAAAACTTACAAAGATATGTCTAAAATTACAGTTTTTCTTTGAGTGGAATGTCAATAGAAATCTACACTGCATCTGTTAAAAATCTGTACTAGTGGAGTGTTTACATAGAAGCTTGGAATTTGTAGTGTAAAATAGAACCTAACACATGAAAGGTGACATTTTGCCCCAAAATGAAAAATAAACACAGCCTGACATACCCTTTTTATGTATTGCACCACCTCCTGGATATATGATCGAATCATTTCAGTCTTCTCTCTGGAAAAAGCAATCAACAAGTTACATTAGTCCATAAGATCACATTTTAATGCTCCCAGCTTCCTTCAAAGAGAGTAAGGCAATGTTTTGAATGTATAGGTCTGCCCATTTAACATTGTGTCTTTTCCTTAGTGTGCTTTGTTTTGTAACAGGCTTCAATTATCCCATGACATACTGCAACAACACCTCTGCTCTTTCATGATATTTTTTTTCCCATAGGGTAGCGCCATATCTTCAAGGCGATGGTAGCATTTGTTAAGACCCGTTTGTCAGCCTAGGGAAGTGCATGCAGATGCACACTGCCACACAGTGGCACTTTGTATAGCAGTGAAATAAGCTGTCAGTGTGTAGATGCTACTGCTGATGAAGGACTTAACTTTGGTCCTCAGTTTTGCCCTGTAAACTACAAAAAGCAGAACTCAAAAGAATTACTTAAAAGTGATTCAGTGAGACAGCTATTAGGTAACTTTTGGTAAAGACAAGATCTCTCAAAAGGATACATGCACATAAAATAACATTTTGTGGATATTTGATCAGATTCATGACAATGCTCTAAAACTTAATTGCTTAATAGTGAATTGCAATCTATTCTGGTGGGATTAAAATCTGATGGTTCAAGGTTATACAACCCCTGGTCATGCGCAGAACTAGAAAAAAATAATTAAGAACAATTAACATAATGCTTCCTTTCTCTGTATTTTTTTTCCTTCAAATTTTCATAAGAAAATCTTTAATGAAGCAACAGTGCAGCACGGGTGACTCAGACAGGATTCACCAGAAGGTCTCACTACTCCCTGTCCAACTGCAAAAGTGAGGACAAATGGCGTCACTTGGCAGAGGAAAGCCAAGTTTCCCATGTTGCTCCCATCCTACCTCTCCCAAGGGCTCTCTGAAAAGCCTGGAGAAAGAAAGTTCTTGGGACAGTGGTGGAAAAAATGAAAAGGGAAACAGAAGTGAATTTTCATGCGTCTGTTTCTGAGCTTTTCTCACCAGTGTCTCATTAACCTCTCAGCTAGCAAATAATTTCCTATTGCAATTGATTTTACTGCTATAATATTTTTGTAACAACTAACCACATTTTTCTTACATGAGCACATGCTATTCTGTCAGCTCTAACCATATTATTTCTCCCATTTTTTTTTTAAATCAATTGTTCTCATTGTTACCATTTTTATAAGATATTTCTAAATTTAATAATGATTCTTAAATTATCTGATGCTGTTCATTGCACGAGCTTCTGTGACCTTCTTCTATTGTTACCAAATACATAGATTCTATGGAGATGCTCCGAAATTTATATAAATAAAGTGTTTGTTTTGTTTTGTTTTTTAACAAATATACTAACAGTAAGAGGAGGGCTAAGGAGAATCTCCATCCTTTCATGGATGTGGTGGGAAACGTAACCACGAGGATAAGAAAAAGGCTGAGGTTCTCAATGCCTTCTTTACACCTGTCTTTAAGACTCTCCCCCCTATCCTGGAAGCCTGGGATGGAGAGCAGAATAAACCTCCACAGTTGGAAACACAGAGATCTGCTACCTAGTCTGTCACAAGTTCACAGGACCAGATAGGATCCATCTGAGGGCACTGAGGGAGCTAGCAGAGGGGACTGCCAAGCCACTTTCCACCATCTATCAATAGTACTGAGTCAACCAGAGAGGTCCCAGAGAATTGGCAGCTTGACAGTGTGACTCCTATATACAAGAAGGGTTGGAAGGAGGATCCAGGGCACGACTGGCCTGTCAATCTGATCTCAGTGCCAGCAAAGGTTATGGAACAGATCATCTTGGGTGAGATCATATAGTATGTGTGGGACAACCAGGTGATAAGGTGCAGACAGCTTGGGTTCATGAAAGGCAGGTCCTGCTTGACCAAACTCATCTCCTTCTATGACCAGGTGACCTGGTGCATGAGGGAAAGGCTGTCAATGTTGTCTACTAGACTTCAGCAAAGACTTTGACACTGTCTCCCACAGTATTTTCCTAGGGAACCTGGAAGCCCATGGCCTGGGCAGGTACACTCTGCTGGGTAAAGAACTAGCTGGATGGCTGGGCCCAGAAAGTGGTGGTGAAGGGAGTTAAATCCAGCTGGTGTTTCGTTACAAGTGGTAATCTCCAGGGGTTTGTACTGGTGCCCATTCTCTTTAATACCTTTCATGATGACCTGGACAACGGGATTTAGTGCACCCTCTGTAAGTTTGCAGATGACACCAAGTTGGGAGGAACTGTCAATCTGCCTGGGGGTAGGAAGGCCCTCCAGAGGGATGTGGACAGGCTGGATTGCTGGGTGAAGGCTAATAGGATGAAGTCCAACAAGACCAAGTGCTGGGTCCTGCAATTTGGCCACAACAACCCCAGGTAAAGTTACAGACTTGAGGCAAAGTGACAGAGTGGAAAACTGTGAAGAGGACATGGACCTGCTGGGGTATTGGTCGATGACTGGCTGAACAGGAGCCAGCAGTGTGCCCAGCTGGCCAAGAAGGACAATGGCATCCTTGCTTGTGTAAGAAATAGTGCTGCCAGCAGGAGCAGAGAGGTGATGACTATCCTGTACTCAGCTCTGATGAGGCCATACCTCAAGTGCTGCGTCCAGTTTTGGACTCCTCACTAAAGAAAGACATGGCACTCCTGGAGCATGTTCAGAGAAGGGCAATGAAGCCGTGAAGGGTCTGGAGCACAAGTCTTATCGAGAGCGGCTGAGGGAGCTGGGATTGTTCAGTCTGGAGAAGAGGAGGCTCAGAGGAGACCTTATCACTCTCTACTACTACCTGAAAGGAGGGTGTGGCGAGGTGGGCGTCAACTTTTCTCCCATATAACTAGCAATAGAACTGGAGGGAATGGCCTCAAAATGCACCAGGAGAGGTTCAAGCTGAGTATCAGGAAAAATTACTTCTCTGCAAAGAGTGGTCAGGTGCTGGAACAGGCTGCTCAGGGAAGTGGTTGAGTCACTGTCTCTGCAGGTGCTCAAGAAATATTTAGATACAAGAACATTTAGGGACATGGTTTTGTGGGGAAATATTAGTGGTAGGTGGATGGTTGGACTAAAGGATCTTGGAGGTCTTTTCCATACTTGAAGATTCTGTGAAATTTTAACTCCTCTTAAGTGTCACTACAACAGAGACCAGTAACAAAGAATATCCCAGCAAACAGGCAAAGATTAAAATGTCCCATTTTCTTTTCGTGCAGCTTGCCAAAACAAATTAATTAGGACAAACAAACCTAGATGCCATGCCCTTGGGAAGAATATAACCAACTTGTGTAATTCCGGCTTGTAATTTACCACAAAGAGAGCAAACCTTCCAGTGTATTAATTCTATTTCTCTTAGATAGCGGCTTTAAGATGGTTAAGAAGAAAGGATAAATCAGAAATAAAAACTTAGTTAAAGTAAAATCAATCCCTTCAAAAACTGAGGTCACTAAGTCTATTTATAGTCACACATAGAGGAAAAGTATTTGGATTAAAAGCGTCTTGAGTCCATCAAGCCACTCAAAGGCATGTCCCCATACCACACATCAGCACTTCTGCAGCTCACACAGGCTCTCAGTGTTGGTACAATAGGAGATTAGATTTGTCTGAGAAAATTGAATTAATATCAGCGGAAGTAAGGCACTCCACTGCTTTGGTGAGGTACTGCAGCCTGAACAAAAGCTGGCTGGGATTTAGGCTTGAGACTCTGATTTTTCCAGTTGTGAAAAATTTTGAATTCCCCCCAAATGTGTAAGGATATGAATGTAGGAATACACTTACTCTTCCATTTGATTTTTATCCTTGGATTTTGCTTCTGTGATCTTCTCCTGCCTCTTCTTGTCCATTTTTTTCTTCAATTCTTTCTTTTCTCTAAAGCACAAAAAATAAATTTAGTTTCAAAATGCATCTAAATGAAAATCATAAAGAGATGTAATCAATTATAAGGGGAATAGCACCTTACTTTTCACACGTTTCTTTCAGTTTCTTTAGCTGGCTGTTCTGACATTCCTCTGCTACATCTGTCAACTTCTGAATAAGCTAAAAAAAGAATTCCAAGAAAGAGAAATAATGTGTTTTCAGCTAAACATCATATATGCATCTAAGTTTCTTCAAAAGCCTGTGATAAATCACATGAACCAGATGAATCAGGAAATGCACAGTAATGTCTGTCTGGTCTCATTCAGCTCTTCTTTCCTTACATAAAAGAAGAAGGACGCTGAGAACAGGCTCTGCTCTACAATAAATCAGAAAGAATCTCTCATTTGCAAGACAGATTTTATATGCAACAAATATTAATTCCAGCAGAGCTCCGAGGTAAAAACCATCTGAATATTTTGTGTTAAAAAAAGAATTTATCATGATACTTCCTAACTGGATTATGTAGAAAACGGGACTTGGCTTTGGGAACTGCCAATTCCCATTTTGGAATGAGAAATTACTTAACTTACAGTATCAGCCCAACTATGTAGGTTCAGAATGCTTTGTTGTTGTTGTTGTTGTTGCTGTTGTTGTTTTTAATGAAAAGTAAAATTCCTGTGATTCAGCCAACAATTGTTACTTGAATGGGAACTCTCTCTCTGCAGCACAGGTAACCATTTCTACGCACCCACACTGGAGCTACTCCTGCTGGGTAACACTGAAATGTCTCACATGCAACTGATGATAAACAGAGCACCACTTGGGAGTGTCAGCTCCGAGCTATGATCCACGGGAATGGATTTGTGAGAAGGCCTTGCTGAGCAATTGCCAGGCATATCACTCCTATGACCTGCTTTTTGGATGGCAAGACAGAGCAGACAAATCATGCAACAGCGAAGAGGTAAAACATTGTATATTAAAAAAAAAAGTGTGAGATAGGATTGTCCGGAGCTGAGAAACAGTTTATGCTTTCACAACACTCTTTAAAAATGTTCTCTTTTGCCTGAGAACATCCATCAGCATTAGCTGCCATCTGTCCAGACTCTTCTATAGCAGTGAGAGGGCTGTGATCTTGCTGTAGTTGTCAGCCAAACTCCAGCTGTAAAAACACAAGCCAGCTCAGACTGATGCATGAAAACTATTTTTTCACCATATACAGATTATGTCCTGTATCCCCTCGAAGCATTCATCTGCAGTAGGAACGCTCTTTGGCATAACTCTATGCCCTGGAGAACATTTGAAATTATTTTCATTTATTTATTTTATGGTGTTTCTATTTATTTTCCAGCTAATCCTGCCTTCTTCAGTGCTGTACACTGAAATAAAAAAATAAAAGGGCAGAACAAAATGAGAACATCATCCAAAAGCTGCAATAAATTGAGGCTTACATAACTAGAGGTAAGCACTCAGTTCCACAGTAGTAATAATAAACCTGTTGCCTTTCTGCCTTTTATCCAAGGCTGTCCAAGTACATTGGAGGTGTTGGTGACAAATGACATAACAACTCCTTGGAGTTGCAGTGGATCACAAGGAAATCAAGCTCTGAAATGGACTCCAAGCAAGAGTAAGCCACACTCCATTCTTACATCACAGCAGTTTCATTACTAACCCAGAGACCACTAAAGAAAAGCAGAGGCCGTAACAAACGTACCAGCTTAATGTGCTCTCGCTTCTGGTACTTTTCACTGTAATACTGCTCCTGTCGGAGGTTTAGCAGCTGCTGCTGTTGCTTTTCCTTCAGCTCAACTAGCTTCTGGGTCATTTCGGAGTCAAGGGCAGCCAATTCTTGTTCGATAGTTGATGAACCATGGTCTGGGCTGCCCGTTTCAGATCTGTGAAGACACACATACACACTGGCTTTACACCACTATGCCTGTTCTGCCCCATATCTAAAACTTGTTTTTCACCTGGTAACATGGAGTTAGTTCATCAGTAAGTTTCTGGGCATCGCATGCAGGGCAAGATAATGATTCTAGCTGTGGTAAATCCACTAATTTAATCTTTTAGGGAAAAACAGTGTTGTTACTAATGGGATTTATATTGCTTTTAAACCTTGTAATACAAACCTGCCATGGTGGGGTGAACCAGGCTTAGTATAATTGAGCTATAAATACAACTGCCAAGATTTCCCATATAAACATTTGCCCACAGAACTTGTTTACCCACTTTCAGGCACCCAACTTGAATTTCAAAGCTTCACAGTCCTCGGTAAAAATGGTGAATGTTAAGTATTTTGAAAACAGTCATCCTTGCATATGCTTAGCAACAAACTTAAAAACATAATTTACATCTACATTTACAAAAAAGCTTAAAATGGTTAGGAGCATTCCTTTATTTAGTATTTTCTCCCCCCTTCAGGAAATGCCATGCATAGCACACACAGAGGAAAGTGCTCTATGGACACCTCACTTCAGAAGGAAACTTAACATCCCAGTGGGGAATAAACCTCAGAAAGGCAACACACAGGAGCGCAGAAAAAAATGTAAGGAAAAAGCTAAAAAGCAAACACTGAGAAATAGGTTGTTTTTCTTCCTCAAGGCAGAAGTATAGATGCAATGGTGAAAGAAAACATGATGACACTAAATTGCTCAAGGCAAAAATAAACAGCAGAAACAGTATCGCTCTCAGGCCAGCAGAAAACTAAACCCAAGAAAAACACTCTTAAAAAATATGATGATGTTGCGTCTCTGCTTGGCTGCTGTGTTTACTGTTGTACTCAGGTGTTAAATCAGTTGCCTGGGAAACCTCAGGAACAGTGCATGAGATGGACAAAACAGTTGAAGTTTGAATAGAGGGGGCTGACTGAGAAAAATGAGTTTGCTGCTCAGACATTTGCAAGATTACAATGCAGAGAACTTGCTGCACTGGCTGCCTGTCTCCTCTTCCAGGTTCAAGTTTGCAGTTGCTGTCACTTAGCCTAACTTTAACTGAAACAATGTGAAGCTGCTTCCATCAATCTGAGGATACAGACTAAGGTAGCCTATTTGTATTTCTTGTACTGCTATTTGAATATTCTACTAAGAAGTTAAGTGGTATCAGTGTGGTAGGTGGGGATAATTTACATGCAGAGGCACAGGACAACACTGATGAATGTTAATCAACAAATAATGCCGTTGCACTGTATGTTTTCAAGTTGACATTTCTCTTGTATTTTTGGGAAAAAGAAATGAGGCTAGTCTCTAAATGCTGGCTAAAATACTAAGACTGTCTTCTAAGGGACATGATTATTAAATAGAAACTTCCGAAGTGTATCAGCATAGTACCTGTGTGTTCAATAAATACTTCCACTGTCCCACAGATACTGGCTTTACTGAATCTAGGCCCAATTTTAGGAATGGGTACAAAGCACTGATTTCTTCTGATCAGAGGCAACATATCTGTATGGAAATCTGGCATAGGAATTCCTTTGAAATAGTGCTTCGTACTTTGCAGTTAAAGGTAAACAGCTAGAGTTATGATTTAAAATAGTAAAAACTACCTTATTCCTTGGGAGACAGTATTCTATAAAAAGTCTTCTGCTTGGGACAATATATACTAGCAAATCTGAAAAGCCTTCAACACATGCTCCTGCTCTTTAAAAATTGAAGATCAGATTTTTTAAACTTCAGATACTTCAATATCTGCACATAAAACTACACATCTCTGAAATCACTATGACAGCTCCACACAGCAGACTGCAGTACTTTATTGCCTTATACCATGAATGATTTATGGTCAGATCATAACAAAATAAAAAACCAAAATCCTTTCTAGTCAAAGTCAGATGAGTCATTCTATTTATTCAGTTTGTTTTTCGGCATAAAGTTGAGTAGAGTATGCCAAAGAAAAAAAGTAACATAATATAATTTTGTCTGCCACTATCTGTCACACACAAATTGATGGTGGAAAATACAGCAAATAAATACCACTGTGTTTACAGTTGGCAGCCAGTCTTTAAATGAGTGAGCTCCTTCCTAGGGACAAGTTACGGACTGAATCATAGTCACTTACAATTAAGAGTACAGCAGCAGTGGCCAGAGCATACTTGCACATTTTTCTCCAACAGTCCCTACCAAATGCACCAAGTAATTTTTTTTAACACTTGTTCAATGTCTTTGTGCTTAAGAACTGCAGCTATTACAATTCTATGCAAAAGTTAAAGGGCTTTTTTTCTTTTAATTACTTTAAAAAATAGATTGTGCTAGACTGAGAAAGATAAATTAGGATGGTATCCTTATCTGACTGCCATTAAGTTTTAACAGTGTTAGACACAGGTTGTACCTACATGTGCATTTGTTTTGCCAGGAACTAAGAATGATCTTTTGCAACACATAGTCCCTTATCATGTGAATAAGAGAAAAATTGTGGAAAAATTAACGAGTCCCAACAGTCAAACATTTCAAACTGATAATATAAACATGACTTCTTTATTATCTAAGCAAATAATATAAATTGATATCAGCACACCCAAAGACACATGGCAGCGAGAGACTGAGAAAGAGAGACAGAACAGAAGGAGAGTGCATGCAGATGCAAAGCAACGCAATCATTAAAATATTCCCAAATGGTCAGGATCAATCACCACTTAAACCACAAATGCTAGTAACTGTATTTCTTATACCTAACTATAGGGCTGATCCTTTTTGTTGTAGCATAATTTTTTTCCAAGATCCTAATGTGGAGACGATGCTCGCCATGCAGAAGTTCAGAATATTTGCTCTAAATATAAATAACACCTGGGTCTTGCTCCACCACCTGGCAGCACATTGTGCTTGCCTAGAGAAAATCAGTTGCTCAGTATCAGCAAGACTGTGTGTGGACTGCAAAACTTTCTCCTTGCTGGAAAAAAAAGAGCTACTTTATAAAGCTGCATTATAAAGTGTGAGGCAGAAGTTTTGCTATTGATGTTGATTTCAATCAGTACTGAACTGATATTCCTCCTAAAGCAGATCAGGATGGGAGATGATGGGGTGCTGTGAGAAAACATGCCACAGTTGATCTGATTAGGAATGTAAAATGCGTTATCCAGTTGGGTTTCAGTTCTTTCAAACTGTGTTCTGGTTCCTGAACTATACTAGTATGTAGGGGAAGCTCAATGTCACCATCTGTGATTAAATTCACCACCTAGCTACTGGCTGCTGTTGCCAGTAGAGCTGAATTACCCACCCATAGCAGAGATCTAAGAAAAGTCCCAAGATAAATACTGTATGATCTTGTTTACGGGAAAAGAGTTTTAAAATTTTGAACAACTTATCTGACTTTTGGCAGAGAAGCAAGATATCAGAGAGGGCTTTTTATCTGATGATTTTCATATCAAAGAACCTGACATCATTTTAACTACAAATTCTCTGACTTGATTTTATCTACAAATCTTCTGGATTGATTTTTTTCTGCGCTTTTAGAGTCACCTCCATAGTAATTATCTATCATAAAAGAAAAAAAACTGCATTTACCTTTTCTTACTGTCTCTTTTTGCTGTTTTTTCTAAAACTGCTCTTCGTCGCAGATAGTCATTTTGGATTTCATTATACTTTGCAGTGTGCTCTTTGATAAGATCAGTGGTTTTCTTGTGGTGCCTCTTAACAAGGTCCTTCATTTCTTTGTAGTGCTTCTTCTGAAGCTTAACAAATGATTTCTGTTGTTTTAGCTCTTCAATAGTCTGTGCTTCCACTTCTACAATGACAATAACAAAAGCAACTTCAATTTCTAATAACGTATGATTTTAATCAGAGAACACCATCAGCTGAAAATGGAACAAAGAACGCTTGTTTTACTGCTGGCATGTGAAATGTGCTAGCTGAAACTAACCAAGCAGAATTCTCTGAAAAGAAGCTAACCTGACTGAAAATACCTAGACAAATTTGATTAAGAGTAGGAAATGAGTTGAAAGACTAAAGCACCAACATGACCAGCAAAACAAAAACCACATACTTTCTTCCCTCATCCCCTTCAGATGCAAAAGATTCTCATCAGCCTGATGGGAATTATTATTACACTATTCTTTTTTGTAGGAACTTCACCAACACCTCAGGATTGCCTTCTCTCTGGATGGGTCCCACAGCACAATATTGACAATATTCAGTGTAAAGTTAGCTTCTGTTCAGATAATAGTGCTGTTTTGGTTTTCTGAGGGGGGCCTACGAGAATGCAACAATGGAATAATAATTAGAAAACCTGCCAGTGATATCAAGAAGCATGTGCTCAAACATTTAATAGCATCACAGCTTCACAGCTGAGGAATAAGACACACTATGTACATTTTCTATGAGTTACTGCAGTCACAACTATTCAAAGGAGTCAATTATCTAAACCAGATGGTCCATTTCAGAAAATATGTTTCCCTTGGCAAAAAGTGTATCACTTGTACAGTATAAGCTGTATATTTAATACCTGTGAGGACACTCTGAATAAGATCTTCTGTCTTTGCAGGTGCTTTCACCAAACCTAGAAGTAAAAGAGATGACTAATACCAACTCCTTTAAAAAAACAGCCATTATTGTGTCATCTGAATGCATATTAAACTATGCTATGTGATATGGACATATACTGATAAATTATCTGAGAGAAGAAACACAAAGACCACCACCACATTTATCCCATTTATGAGGAGGAAGCTACTGAACAAGGCTATGAAGTCTTCAGTCATTAAACTATAAACACTGTGGTTTAACATACATTTATTACAGGATATAAATCAATACAGAATATATACCAGAAAAGCAGCTTTTAAATAGAAGATATTTCTATATTTGAAGAAAATTCGCCCTAACAGCAGACTAGGAATTTGTCCACCAAATTTATAAAAACAAAGCAAACAACAGCAAAAAAAAGCAAATCAAAGATTACCATGTTTTCCCCCACAAAAAAAAACAAAGTTAGAAAACACCAAATAAAATGTTGTTCTTGAAATGTAAAGTACATAAAAATTAATACCCAGATTTATTTTGAAAAGACGATTTTTAGCTTGTTTTGCTTGTTTGTTTTTTTTACCTGGTGTTGGTTGGCTATGGACAACCTGAGTTGCTGGTTTTGGTGTAAGAGAGGCAGTGTGATTTACTCCATTTTCTGCTGGTGCTGGCCTAGGTTCACTATTAGCTTCAGATGGTGCATCTCCGTGATCCACCTGAAAACACACGAGGATTTACATTACTCTTTCCAACTAACAGCCTTAAAAATTTCCAGATCTAGTTTAGTCTACTTTACAATGGTAAGAGTCTATAAATGTTAAGTACAGACTACTTTTAACAGGAAAGGGAAAAGAAAAAGAAAAAGAAAAAGAAAAAGAAAAAGAAAGAGAAAAGGGAAAGCGAAAGGAAAAGGAAAAAGGTATCTTTAAGAGCCACAGTAGCCCAGGCAGTACATTTTTTCAGGGTAAATTTCAAGAAGAAATAGAGCATGTATTATTCTTCAGAAGTATTTTAAGCGGGTATAACTCATCAGGGACATTTTTCAGTACAGTATATATAAACTGCACCAGATATGAAATCTGTTTTTTATTGAAAAGCACTGTTCTCTGCCACAAAGCTTTTCTAGGCATAATGGAGAAGGTTGCACAAAAATGCTACTTAGATTCTTGCTGTGAACAAAATGAGCATATAAAATTACTTTGAAATTTCATACATCCACAGCACAATCATTATTCACTGTTTTTACAGCACAGAGACATACTTGCGATTCCCAAGATCTTACATTCTTGTAATTACACTGCAAGGATAATATGTAAACAGTACTTCCATCCTGCTGCATAAATTCACCTGTGGTATCCAAATATTTAAGCATTTTCTACAATCTTTCTTTCTAGTTTTCTAAAAGCTCAGGGTTACAGTATACATTTCATTATGCACTAAACACCACAATTTTCTTCATGGCCATCAGGTTTGTAAATGACAGGGCGAGCACAGAACAAACTGAAGGTCACTGGAAGCAATTTCACTTCTGAAATGACCAAGCCCTGCTTCTTGCTGGCCCTGCAAGGGACCAGTTGCCATGGTGTCTCGGGTAGTCTTGGATTTGTTCTTTCAGCTGCTTCCATTTCAGTCTTTGATGGTAATCACATTACATGCAGAGGCAGGATACCACAGTTGGTGGTTTTTTTTTACCTCTTGATTTACTCCACACTTGCAAAATAACAGCCTGCACTGCATCAATTGAGACAAAATATATTTTGATCTGCTTTGTGTTGCTCCTGTTGCAGATTTCCTTCATCTTGGCCCTCACTACACTGTTTATATTGCAAAAACAATTGTCTCTACAGCTTATTTCTACCAAAGTTATAAGAGAGAGATTCTGTAGTCAAAAACACAATGCCAAAATTAATTAATAACAAAAACCTTACTTCTTTAAAGCAGTGATTATTGCAATAAAATAAGGACAAATGTGACCTAGCCAGCATTTCTGACAGTAGAACAATGTGACTGCAAAAGCTGCAGCTGTGACAAACTCACAGAGACATGGTTATCCCCTCAATTCCTCTTAAAATACATTTCTCACTGAATGCAATCCATTAGTATGAAAAAAAAAATACTGCTATATAGATAATCTAATATCAATAAATAATGCTAGGATTCCTATCTTCTGGCAAGTTAGCACTCTAAAAGTCATTATGTGGAAAATGGGTACTGTCATCTTCTATATCTGTATGTGAAATGCTGCATTGCAGCTTGTTGAGAAACTATTAATAGGCTGTCAGTTTGGGACATAAAACAGCTGATTTCAGAAACTAAGGCAGAAATGTGAGACAGGATCAGGAAGTGAATAAAGAGTAATTTTCAATGCACCAAGCAATCTAATCTCATTAAAAAGCACTTTCTCTTCTCATAACTCATCATACAGAATAGTAAAGTAAACATGATTTTCCCCTAGTGGAGAACATTTTAGGCCCTTTTAAAAATATGATGCAATCCAGCCCAAAAATTTATAGTTTCAATATTCACAGAAAATGGTTTGTATTCCACACATTGCCATGCCTTTTGCAAGACAGTATGTTTACTAAGTTGAAAGATACACACTCATGCAAGTACTTATTTATATGGGCTGTATTTTTATTTCTGCAGAGAAAAAGAGTTGCAATGTATTGGGATTGGCAGATCCTCTTCTGGTACTGAGTACATCTGTGCTGCACTGCCAAACTAAGAGGAAACTGAAATCAGTTTGGCTCTTTCTTGGCAAAGTATAAGCAATCTTTCTATGACAAGTGTCAGATTAATTTGATTTCCCTTACTGTACGTAGTTAATTTCTGTTACTGACCACTGTAACTCATAATGGGAATACTACAAAACAAACAGAATAGATGCTGTACTTGACAATTAACAAACAGTATAATTTGAAGCTTAGAGAAAGATGCACTTCTTCATTCAAAACAATTCACTATTAGATATCTTTTTTGACCATTGTTTTGTAAGAAGTCAGGGGAACTTCCTACCAAGCAGGTTGCAGCTTAAACTTCTAGGTAGCAAAGAAAAACGTTCAATTTTCCTCTGATAAATGCAAGAATGCAGCTCAGATATATAAATGGGAGTGACAAGAGGGGAAGGAGTGTGCGGAGAGGACATGTGCTTGGAGGCAGCAAAGAGTTAGATGCAAACATTAATAGGGTGTACATAGAAACTGTACATTGGGAAATTGAATCCAGGTGTACTTACATGTACATTATCTGGCAAACATACTCAGAATTATTTAGCTATGTTGCCAGTGATTGTGCTTGTCATTATTAATCAATGTGGTTCTCGTGGGCAAGTGTAAGCAAACAAACCAGTCAGCCCTACTGACTGCTGAAGAAAATGTTTCATCAGATATGATCAGACAACTCAGGATTTCCAAGCACAGTCCAGCTGCCAATTATCCACAATCACAGTTTATAGATAGTAACAATGGTATACTTAAATTGCCATTTTGAGTGGAAATTTTTTATCTGTCCATTTCTACTGCATCTAATTGAATCGTTATACATTTTTAGTAAATGCTCTGCTACAATCACTACACTTTTCTTTTAAAAAATATTTCTCTACTACTCTGAAGCTCGCTCCTTTATCCCAAAAGCTTTGAAGCTCCTTGACACTACCAAAGCACTATAACTCAGCTTTCCAGCTTTGCCCTTACTTAAGAAGATACTCCGTGATAGAATTTTTCTAACAAACAAGCCTGTACAGACCAGAGAAATCTGGACTTTTTTTTCAAAAGTAAAAATGACCTCTAAGGTATTTAAAGGATTGTATTAAAAAAAGACTTTGCTATTAAAATAGAATCTCATGTGTAGAGTGTCCTAGATAGCTATCTAAGATACTACTGAGCATTTCATAGTGTCCTCATTCAGCCGAACTTGTGACACTGCACAAAGAGTAAATTGTTGGCCACTGAAATGTAAAGACTTCCAATTTTCTGGTCTGCTTTGGGAATGTATTATTGGTTACAAAATCTAGTTCAATGATGCTTAGCACATTTGAGAATTGTAGAAGGCAGTCAGAGTGAGTAGCTGAGGGCAGTTTAGGATTTTGAAGCATTCATTTTTGCTAGAGACCCCTGCAGAATGCCCTTTGATTCATGAACACGCCCAATGTCTGAAACAAGCAATATTCAAAATACAAGGTTGATATTCTCAAACCATGCTGAAGGTGTCAGAGTGATAACGTCTGGAAGAGAGGTTGAACATCTGGAGGAACACAGACTTCATTGGAAGTGAAAGCAAAACTGTCAGCATGATGAATTACACTCAAAATTACATCTATGCAATTGTATGTACAACAAAGAGCAATAAACAGAGCCTGAAATACTGTACAATACTTTCAGGCAAAGCTGCTGGTTCAGCACTGTTATTTCTGTAAAGGCAATTTCAGCACCACCCTGGAAAACAACAGGCAATGATATAATTATTTAATCTGCTACATAAAATGCTGCACATCAGCAAAAAGCTAACTCAGTTTCCCAGTCAGCTTTCAGTTTGTCTTTACCTCTGAACAGTACTGTGTGCCTTGCACAACATGCTTCTTTCAGTGGAAGCACACACACAGCACAGTGCTGCTGTGCACTCATATACTCTAGTCTCATTCTGGACGAGATGTTTGCAAATATTTAAGCAATTGACACACACAATTCCAAGGACTTTCTAAGCAAAGTAGATAACTTCAAACACTGCAATGTAATTTGCAGAGACTCTAAAACCTCCCTTACCTCTTTCTTTACCTCTTCTTCATCTTCCAGAGTCAGTGCTGCCAATTGCTTAGCTCTCTGCTCCATCAAGTTTACATATCTGATTGGATTGGATAAGGCCTCGATCACATCTAGAAATAATGCAAATATATCAATTCCAAACCTCTTATGTTATATGCTCTTCAGGCTGTAAGATACTGTATTTTTCCTACAGATCTGCCACTGAGAGATACTTCTAAGACACAGAAACAGTAGTGAATGACAGTGTACCACCACATGCAAGTACTCTAATGCACCCTCTCTGACTTTCTGCTTGGGTCATGTGGATGTGCATTTTTCTCAACTTAGTGTTTTACGATGGCTTTTCAAAGCTTACACCCAATTTGGATTTTACTTCATATAAGGCATAGAAAGGAACACTACTAAAAATGTTGTCATTTTAGAAATAAAAACAACAGAAGTACTATACAGTACAGTACTGTACAGTACAGTATATATCTTTTTTTCACAGCATTACCTGCGTAAGTATCAGGCACATAGTCTTTGACCTCTATGTACACAAAGAGAGCTGGCAGTGTCAAAGGTTGGTTCCTCTCATTCCTCAAACAGATGTAGTGGTAGCCTGTAAAGTAAGAATGAACCAGCTCAGAGCAAGAACTCTTCAATGGGTATGTCCAGTGCAATTGTGTTAACATTTATTATTTATAGTTTGGATCCAAATGAGCCAGCAACCCCAGGGACTTCTATCGGGATAAGATTTACGCAAAGCGTGTCAGAGATAAGTATGCAGACAAGGGACTGTTTGAAAGGCACATGACACTGCAGCTTAAAATAGTATTTACACTTTATTTTCACATCTCTGAATAATGCTAAACATTGTCATTAATATAATTTTGAATGTTTTGTCCTGTATTGGTTTTTACTGGAGCTTTATTTGGTTGTTTGTTTCATAGTTCTTGCTATGTTTTCAAAAGCGACCCATTATAGTACTCAGGAATCCAAACTGACAAGTGAAATTGAGATCAGTGATGTAATACCTAACTAAAAATATAGACAATGTAGCACTGTATCTACAAAGTGTGTGAGTGGTGAATCCTGTCATGTGACAAACTGTAGGAATATTTCTGAACAAGGAATATTTTCGGACAGTTTTGAAAGACAGTTGTCCTGTAACACATGTACATATACAGCACTGCAGTGCAGATTAGCCAAGTTAATGGCAAAGAATCACAGATTTGGCAGCCCCAAGCCTCTTCTCCCAGCCACCCACTGCCTGACTTGCCTGACTTTGTGGATAGACAGCCCAGCAACCTAAACTTTGGAAAATGCAAACATCAGAAATTTCTCAAGAGTCCTCCTTTAGTGCAGCTCCTTCAAATGCCTCACCATATTGCTTAGTTTAAATACAGCAATGAGATTGCTGGTAGGAATGGGAGAAATGTACTTCCAGTCCCAGTGAATTGTCTTCAGTGTGGCAAAGCTGCATCCTTTGTCTCCTACACGATGGCTGAAGCTGTTGTCCAAAGGGATGAGTATGGAGCCAAACATATGGGTAGTTGTAAGATACAAGACACAAGCAGGATGAGTTTATCTAGAGGGATCCTTGGCTGATCAAAGCAACTCCCTCTCCAAGTAACAGCTAAATTCTTGCTTTGGGAATAATGACAATAATGTGTGACAGTATGATGGTTTTCAATAGTGTCTCGGAAAAGAGTTAAGTTTTATATTACAAAGGTTTCTCAGTCTTCTCTAATTCCTGCACCAAATTTTCAGCACGTACAAAAGACTAAAACCAACATGCTGTTCTCCATCTTACACTGTAAACAAATACCAGAGTCAAAAGGACAGAAGAAAATGCCTGAGGATAAAAGCTCTCAAAAGTGCTTGTATGATTTAACACAGTGGCTTCTGTTCTAAAAAGCACAAACTTAAAAGCATGAATGTGATTTAATCCTCTGCTGAAAGGACTCTGTGCCACACGAAGGGTAAGTGCCGCAAAAGGGGATCAGGCCTGGTAAGAGCTTACTTCCACCAGATGATGGAAATCCTTCACAACTCCCTTTCTTCTCACCCATCACATGCCTTCCTCTGGCACTAGACAGATCCACCATGAAGCAAGCTTATCCATTAACCCAGCACAAAATATACCTAGCATAAAAATGGAATTTTCCGCTGTCCTGATAATCTAGGCTTGCTCACAAAGAGGTATGGAAATCAGCAGAGCTGGCACAACAGCCAGGAATGTGTGGTCAACAGTGGGAGAGAAGAGGGAAGGGTGAAAGGAAAGAGAAATTATGACCACTGAGGAAATCCTCAGAGCAGTGGATGCCTAGCAGTCACATCCATCTACCTGACCATGCTCATAGCAAGGCCACATGATCCACAGCAGCCAAGGCAGAATGGCTTGGAGCTCTTCTTAGAAAAGCCCTGACACCACTGGCCATGAGAGGGGATCTAGAAAGTACTGGAAGAGATTTAGATACTGATTTAGATAGTACCTCAGCTAAGGTCTCCAGGAATAATATGGACAACAACTGCTAGATACAGGGGCACGTAAGTTGTATGTTACTGCTGTAATCAACTAGACCAGGTATAGTGTAGGAAGATATTCTTCCTTTTCCACTGTGAAAGTATCCACTGGATACTTTCCACTGGAAGTATGTTTATGGCCCATATGCTTGCCCTAGATTAGGTTCCTCCCCTCCCCTCACTGGAAAGCTGGTATTGAAGCCGGACAATTTTTCTGCTCAAAATGCCAATGTCATTGTACCTTTCTGAAGCAAAATATTTAACAAGTCTCTTGATCTGGAAAATTACAATTTTCATTCAAGCGCCCATTAATTACAACAGTGGTAATATGATTTGGAAGAGGCCAGGAATTATTTTTTATATATATTTTTAATATTTGACAATAACAGTTTAAGTAATTTGAGACTGATTTAAAGGCTTTGCAGAGTTACAACAACTTGCATATAGGTCAGTTGTCACATGCATATTAAAATTAAACTACAGGAGAATCTTTTTTTTTCATTCCCAGCCATCTCCACTCTCAGAAATATGATTTTCTTTTTTTTTAATCTACTAAAGATCAGCAAGTGCCAACCAGACCTTTGATATTTAATTCTGGTGTTTTTTCTGGTTGATTAGAAATCTACATTTCTGGTGAAATATGGTATTTTCCTTTTCAAAGTTGAAAGATATTATTCAAATTCTCATATTGTATAAATCTATACAATGTTGCTGGTGAACTACAGTAGTTGGAATTTGGATTTGCTTTTTCTTTTTGCTACACAATGTGTGCTTCAATGGAGAAAGGGGTTTACCTGGTCGAATTGCTGAGACTGGTAATATCCGATGGCCAATAAACTTCCCTCCTTCCTCATACACTGCTAGCCTCAAACATGCCAGGGTAGGTAAAACAACCTAAAAAGAAATATTGCTGTATTATTAACTTTCTGCTCTGAATGAAACAGCTCCATCCAGACAAAACTTAGCAATATACCAGATAGCAAGATAAAGTTAAGCCCAGCAGATGGTAACATCTACACATCCACAGGAGATTCTACCATACAAGAGATCAGGGTGGATACACCTGTGCTTAAAAATAACTCTCACAGAACTGTGCTTCTTTCAAGGAACTTGAGGTGGGATGTTAGCACAATACGTTGAATCCAACAATTTGGCCCTGCATTTTCAATATGATACAAGGGACTCAGCTCAACTCTTATCACATTCCAACGCTTTACACTTAATTTGTCAGTCTTGCATGTTCTCTTTTTCCTTTGTGTTTGCACCAAAGGGATTATTTGCTTCTCAAAAAAGTCTCTGGTAATGTATCTTAGTATTGAAAATTCAACATGCAACTCAACACAAGTTGCAGAGTGTTAATGTCTGAATTAGATGAACCATGTCAACCTCAGCAGCGTTTCTGAGTGCTGCAGTCCACTCATTTGTAAGGAGAAATAGGTCTAATCAGGTGGGATGCTTACTAGCACTGGGTGCTATATTGCCACCAAATATAAAGGAAGGCCAAACAGTGAAAAAAGAAAACAAATTGAAATAGGCTACTGAGCTACTTTAGTAAGACTGAAATATTTGATATTACTTCTAAAAAATAGAGTACAATTTTAAAAAAATCTCATTTTCTTACTCTGTAAATATACATAAAATTACACGTATTTTAGAGCTGGGTGCAGGGGAGTGTTTTTTTTACACACATTCTGCTAAAATTGACATAGACATTGAAAGAAAAACAAAAGCAACAATTCAAAACTAAGAATCTCTACAATTTATTTTCAATGCAACTAAAAGTACTGATCTATGCTTCTCAGAGCAGAGTGGCAGTCAGGGCATAATTGTAACTAAACAGAGAAATGAAGTACAGTAATTAGAAGTTCATTACAGAAGAAAAATCCTAGTGATGTTTCCAAACTTAAGCTCTGGCAGGCTGCCAAAGGAAAGTTATTCAGAAGGCAAAATATTCTGGGAAAAGGGCTGTACTCCCAAGAAAGCAGGGCTGCAAGGACCAATTGTAAAAACATCTCTGTGAGCTGTATATTTGCCAAGAAAAATTAAATTACTTTTTTTTCAAATACCTGGACTCAGGACCCAACTAACCAATAAATACAATCCAGATGACAGTACAGTTCCTGCTAGAAAACTTGCTGTAGGTATATTGTGAAGCACACTAAGACATCCATGTTGTACAGTCCTGAAACATGCTCAGTATTTTCAGCTCCTACATCGCATGTTTTGGGTAGATCAGGATTTATGCAACTTTATAACCTAGGTTATATTTAGGTGGCATACACTAGAGATAAGGAGAGACAAGACTGCTTTGAACGAGCTAGTCTGGACAGCCTGGACAGCCAGATTGTTCACAGCTGTACTCACATCACCTCACTTGCAGATTAACAGGATCTGCTTTTCAGGGCTGCTCAGCTGAGCCAAAATGCCATGGAAATTCAGCTAAAACGTTTCAAGAATCTGCACTTGCTCATTTATATGATAGCACTGCATCATCCCATGCAGATGACTCCACTGACATATTTGCTATTTCAAGCTGAGGTGACTTGAAACTGATTTATTTCATTATGGGCTTGGCATGACTATAGTAGCAAAATTATACCAGAAATAGTTAATAACAAACAGTTGGAGAAGTAGCTGTTCAAAACCTCTTTATCTTTTTTAACAAACGAGATCTGTAGAACACAGAACTAGCTAACTGGGCAGCAACTACACACACTCAATGCTGGTTTGAGAAGCAAGTGTTACACCAACCTTTTTGAACACTATAGTTTCCTCCTCCCAGACAGGATTAACTGCATTGCCTTGCGAGGTCTTGGTCTTTAAAGCTTTTCTTCTTGTATCCACAGGCAGGCCAAACATGTCAACTTCTACATAGGTACCAACTTTTTTATCGGAAAGAAACTGACCTGAAATAATCTAAGATCAAAACAAAGGGGATGTCACTGGAGAGCTTTGGTGAACTAGGAAAGTGGCTAAGATGCAGGTGGATAATCCTCATTATTTATTAGATGTATTTTCAAAATAAAAAAAAACAACAAAAGAAGCAAAAAGCAAAACAAACAAACAAAAAGAATCTAAAACAATAAATAAATAAAAACACTGTTTAATACTGCAGGCACAGAAAAACAGTTTATGAGGTCCGATTTCCTGTGGACCTGTGACCCTGAATTCCCCTGTGAGCAATAATGTGGTTGAGATCATGCTACTGCCCTTCCCTTAGCAAGAACAGTCATTTGGATCTCATTCCCCAATCTTACAGTCTTTATGCACAACACAGTATCTTTGAGACCTTTTAATTTTTAACCAGTTTCAACAACAGGTTTAAAACACAGTGCTGAAAGGAAAGAGGCATATGCAGTAGAGTAACTATGTTTGATCCTTACTGGGAGGAAAAAAAAAGGCTAAAATAGATATTTTAATAAAGGCGCTTCATAGAGGGTGAGGACTTTGAACACAACACAACTATAAAATAGTAGGCTTTTCTAGTTCTTAATTTAACAGGAAACACAATTCTCATCTTTAAAAAGTGTAAGAAAGCTCTGCAATTAATTCAGAAAACTGAAGAAGCACTTACAGTATCGCCTCTGTAACATAAGAAATTCGTGTTTACTGAAAGCAACTCTAATTCTGTTCTCAAGTGGATCAGTGTGGACATTGTCTTTATACCTAGTAGAGCGTACTCTGAGCAGGCAGAAGTGGCTGCCTTCTGGATTCCTGGATTCTCATTCCTGTTTAAAACACTGCATTTCCCAATAACTGTCAAATGACATCCACCTCTATTTAGTAAACTGGCAGAAAAATGAGCCTCTAAACCCACAAGGGGAACTGAAAGCTTCGATGACTACAGGTCACCATGGGAGGTCATTTCCAGAGCTGTCTTTTTTTCTTTTTTACCATGCATGTCAGCAGGTTAGTGCTTTATTCATAGCCCTCTGAGCACCGATTTGTTATTGATGTCTGCAACTCGAGAGGAAATACTTGTTTTTCCTCAATGAAAACAGGATATTTTGCAGGTGGATTCTATAATACAGACACTGGCCTAATGGGAAGTCCATTAAAAGCAGAACAGGATTTCAGAAAGTTTATGTTTTCATAACTAGAGTTATACTGAGTATAAATTTGTGTCATAGCCAATGCAATCTATCCCTACAAACATTCATAGTAGTTTTCAATTTGCAGATTCCTGGCAGTCCTTAATCTTCATTAGATGTCCTTAAAACAGGAACCACTGAAAGCAAGTTGGCAATGACTTGCAGCTGTCATTTATGATTCCAGAGTATTGCTGGAGAACTTAAAGAGAACCAGAAAATTTATTTATACCAGTGTACTGTTCTAACCATTCCACTACAAGTGACTGCTTTGTAACACAGCATTTTAAATTCAGTCGTTTACGAATAAAACCACAAGCTACTCTTAAATTCGCCAACTATTCAAATATTTCTACAAAAAAAAAATATATATACCGTAAAAACACAATTATTTAACCTACAATGAAATATGAGGCAGAGCATTATCTGCCATTTAAAACTTAAACATCACTCCATGAAATGAAACGTACTGTCCTGAATTAATGTGGCTATTTGCTAGGTCTCCACACAACAGAAATTTATCCATGCTCTGACATTATAGTGAGAGTATTTTCAACATTGTACGTACATACCTTCACAGACAAGGTGTTAGCTACGATTCCATCCACAATGCTTTCAGTAAATGGATCAAAGTGTTTGTCTGGTCTTCTCATGAATTCTGGCTTTAACCTGTATCCACTTTTGCCATTGTACTCATACATTCCCATGTTTATTTGCATAGACAAATCTAGGTATTAAAAATATTGATCAGAATTATTTTCTGGATAGATAACGATTTAGAAAAAGCAATAAAACAGTACTACTTATTCTAGTTTCAAATGAACTACGACAAGTACAACAAATACAAAAGCTATTTATGGTGCTATATCTATTAAAAGAACTCTCAGACTTGATTGCATCCACCCTTTTGGACTCTTTCCATTGGGGAATCACATCCACAACGCACCTTTCAAAGACTACTCAAAAGATAAAATTCAAATTTGAAAAGAAGTGTTAATGATTAGGTACTGAATACTTCAGTGTTGTATTAACTGCTCTGTTGTATCCAGACCAGCAGAATATTTAACGTGTCAAACCCCTTTTAGAAACAGACACAGGACCCTGATACTTAGTTGAAATCTGCTCAGAAAAGTTTTCATTACTCTGTGGACTTCCAGACTGTGTAATTCCATGGAGCAGTAGCATGTGCATGGGCTCTACTGGAAATGAAAAGGGAATGATAACATGATACCATGGACAGGATTTGTCCTGGGATCCAGTATCTGGAAATATTCATATTTCTCAGAACAGATATATTCTTTGAAGGCACCACACCTATTTCAAAAGTGACTTGTGCATACAGGGGCCTAAATGTCTTTGTTTCTTTAATTCTTACTTCTAAAGTGGAATTTTCTTTCCACTTTTTTTTTGCATACATCCCTTATGTCCTGATGTACTGAGATCCTGTACATGTTGCAGGACTGGATAAAAATCACAGCTAACTCTTAAATGTTGCTTAATGGGAGCCACTTAGAAATGATGACAATATGGAGACCACTATGTATACAGATTACACTAGCTACAGAACATTAATTACAACTATTTCTAGTTAAAGGATAAACTTCATTAAAAAGGTAAATTTACAGCCCTGTAGTTCAAACCACTGGACTCTTCTGATGCATGAAGCCTTTCTTACCTACCAGTCAGGAACTGTATCAGAGAAGTAGAAAAGTACAGATAACAAAATCAAGAGACAAGCACAACTTACCTACTGTTTGGAAGTTGAGAGCAACCATTTGGCAGCCAGCATTCCAAAAGACTTGTGGCATGTAGTTTGAAGAATCTACACGTGTTCCTTTTGGGTAAATTCGGCTTAGCTGCATTTTGTTGTATCTAAATGGTGGGCAGTTAAGATTTTATACATGTATCAAAAATGACTTTGCAGAGAGGTCACACAACTGCAATATTTAAATGCAAATGATTTTTACAGAAGGCATTAGGTTCCTAATTGGATTTCCGCAACGATAATAGCAGAGACCCACAATTTTGTAGATAATATAAATTAATGGGGTAATTAAAGGTGATGTTGCTGTAAAAATACTCAGAATAAACAAAGAAGTAGCACAGGTATATGCTTAAGAAAGATTGCATTCATAAAATTCCATTTATAATTATAGTTCCTAACTCAGAATTTTCCTAAGATTGCATTTTTAACTGTAAGCAGTGAATCTTACTCTGGCAGGGAAAGAGGTTCTCAGTTAAAAAGTAGAAGTGTTTGCTCTTTTGGAATGAGCATCAGAATTGGCCTCTACATAAAGACAGAAATGATGACTTTGCACTTCTTATAGTTCAGTCTACAAATCTCAGAGATGAGAACATGCTGCAGGTTATCTGTGGAAATTGCTTTCCATTAATCTTCTTTAAGGCACTATTTTATCTTGGTCATTTTTTTCTTAACTGCAGCCAGGATGAGACACTGAGAAGCATCATAAGGTTTAAACAGATTCCTCCTTAGCTTTTCTTTAAAAGCTACAAGAGAAAAAGTAAACTAAATAGAAAAATAGAATTCGGTGGCAATAAAGTCAGTGCTCCTGGAACTAGGTGGGAAAGAAAACTCTCTTGCATGATTTTACAAAAAGCAAGTCAGCCACATTTTGCCAGTTTGCTTACTGTAATTCAGACCACTTCACCTATGATAAATTTATCAAAAAGAATACAAAATAATAGATCTTCAAGATATAGTTTGAGCCTATTCCCTGCAGTCCTAGCCCATAGTGCAAGGACTCTTGCCAGCTTTTAAATTAGCACAACAGTCCAACCCAATTAAATCATCTATGAAGACAGTTAAGTCTACAAATCTCATTTGGTTTCCGTATTTTTCCAGCTCACATCTTCAAATTTCAATAAAACCCTGTAATAGACCTCAGATATAGAAAATCTAGGAAAGCAGCTTTCTGAATGTCAAGGATACTCCACAAATTCCACAGGAGACTTGGTAAGTTGCTCAAGCCCTTTGGTTTCCACGAAGGAAGACATTTCAAAACTTTTGTTGCGTTCTGCAGTTTTGAAGGAGGGAGAAAAACAGTGACATATTAGAGCATGATATCATATGCAATATATGAACTAGTTTAGTTTCAGTCCTCTAACCAACTGTTCACCAGCTCACTTCACCTTAATCTCAAAGAATTTATATATGCAGTCGTTTGTGAACAGCAGTAAACTCACTCTGCATATACTCAAAGGCACCATCCAAACTCATACTAGCATTGCCCAAATGAAGGGCAATTGTACTGCCTGAGATACCCACTGTAATGGATGCTGGTAAAAGAAAGTCAGTGTATGTTAGAGATCTCTCTCATTTGTTTGCACCGTGTTCATACATTAGACAGGTATTGCCCAAAGCTCACACAAGAGACAGAGGTATTACGGCAAATTTTGTTGGAAACAAAACCCTACCAGATGTCTGGACTCTTTGCAGGCAGATATAATGGCTCCGAGCCAATTTCAAGTTCTAATAGCTAATTGTCCATATCAGATTAAACTAAGGACTATGCTACTTGTGCTTACAGGGCTTCTTGACACCTTCATGATGTCAGAGGAAACTCACATCTGTCTCAAACAATCATGGAAACACTGCTACCTAATCATGACTGAAGGCACACTCCTGTGTCTCAGCAGGTCTTTAGACCTAATGATAGACTCTTCTGGAGCAACCATAACCTCTTTAATCTGGTCAAACTTTCCGACATGAAATGATGTATTGCTCCTGCTAAGCATGTAACTCAGTGGTACTGAACATTCATTTGTGTATCATGTTACTCACTTTGCCTAATGTTTGCACAGCCTTTCAAAGTACCATGTGACATGTACCAGAGCCTAAGTCAAGGCCCTTCAACCTTCAGTACTTTTTCTTTTAAATTTTATACAGAAGGTAAGGATTCCTGTAACATAACAGCTTCCCATTTCATCACAATCAGCTCTGCAGATTGTACAGAATGGGTAACAGCACTGAGAGATTACAGCTATTAAATATCTCAGCACTGCTCACCTTAAAAATGAGATAAACAGTCCATGTAGTGGAACACGAACTCTCTCCCCTAACCGCCCTAATGAGAGCAAACATTGGAGAAAATGCTTGCCCTCATGCAATTCCTGAAGAAATCATGACAGCGATCCAGGGATGGCCTGAAGGCCAGCATGGCCAGCTCCTTGAAGTCAAACCATGAAGCTGCAGGAGACTGATAAAACTGAACAAAAGCACTTGTCTTGCAGAGAGAAGGAGACGAGAAACAGGTGGGCATTTCCATTATAGGAAGTCAAAAAGGAAGCAGTGGCTCCAAAGAAATAACACGTCTGAGCCAAGGTGAGAAGAAAACGTACTGCCAGATACTAATCTGCAAACTAGATGGCTGCAGCTATTCTCACTGTATGTTGAAGAGCCAGAGGATAATTATATTGTGCTTTTTCAAAAATTATTCTCTATCTCTAGGGCAGCTGGACCTCATACTTTGTAGTGGCCCCTACTTCTAATTAGCAACCATCATGGTACTTCATGCTACTTCCATTATTTATAGCAGTATCTCCAAATGGTAGAAGATTCCTACCATTCTATAGAGGCTACTTTCTTATCAGTCATTTTCCTTTCCAAAAGCAGGATCTTTTCCTTCCAAATTCAGTTCCAGACAGCTCATTCCCATCAACGCACTTATAGCACTGAGATTCTTCTTCCACCCCTCCTCACTAATGGGACATTGTGTGCAATGTGCACATACAGTGCTAATGCAGACTATCTCCTGTGTAAGAACAGGTCACTGTGCTGCTGGTGACTAAGTTTTTATGTCCCTGAATGTTCTGAGGCTTACTTTCTTAAAATTGAACTACGTGTTTCTCATGAATCATTTAGGAACGATCACTGATTCCTGCGAGCATACCATGAAAGGAAGCTCTCCTGCAGCTCCTAATAAACACTTTGCTTGCATCACCTGAGAAAAACATTTCAGCTGATGGCAACCAGACAAAAAAAAAAAAAAGAAAAAAAAAAAAAAAAAAGAAATCTTTCATTTCAATTGTCAAAAGAAATCTCATAAAGAACCACTGAAATACACAACTGGTGATTTTCTGTTTGCAGTGTAATTCTACTTCTTCATCTCATTGCTTCAGTAGCTACTTAAATACGGCCCTACCAGGAAGCAGCGACTAGATGTGTTCTATCTCCACAGTTATTCAACCAGTATAGGACTGCTACACAAAGCATGAACAAAATGTTCAAGGAAAGACAAAGAACATATCTTTTATTCCTCTTAGAATACAAGTACTATTTTCTTTTTTTTTTTTTTTTTGGTATTAGTAGTAGTATGCAGTATTTCCCAGTATTTATCTTAAAGTAGAATCTGCAGGAAACCAGAACTAGTAGCTGGCAAATGTCACGAAATGTTCAGAGCTTAAGCAAATTCCTAAACAAAATACAAAAACTTATTCCCCTACAGTACCTGGAAAGGTTTAAGAAAGCTGTCCTTTGAAGAAAAAACTGTCCAGGAGAGGCATTTCTCCCTCATTATACGTTAATGAGGGAGAAACTTGTTTACTTATCAGAATTCACTATAGAATGGATAAACTAATTGAAAAACACTTTCCAATATGAAATAATGTCCTGAAACAGTTGCAATTATTAGCTGTCAGAGGGAGGGAATATACCTAGTGAGGGCCATTAGGGAACTGTTACAGATCTAGTTGTATTCAACATTTTTGTTATGAATCTGGATTCAAGACCAAAAATGCACTCCCTATAATGTATGAATGATAGCAACAGTGAGATGCTGTTACCCCAACAGAGGTGAGGATCACAGATCAAAACAAATTCTGAATTAGATAATTCAAAATTAGCAAAATTTCTTATGATGAAAAGATAAAACTTTATAAAAGACAAGAAGCAAAAGTGAACAAAAATACAATCTGGGAAAAATTCAATAAGCAGCCAAATAAAAAACAATTTTAACTCTTTCCTTATTTAGCTTATCTTCACTGAACTTAACAAAAGTTCAGCTGAGATTCCAGATTCCAGGCCAGGACTAAGACCAGAACCCGTAAGCTTAAGTGGCCATGCTCGAAACACATAGCAGTATTTGCACACTATGATTTTTTTTTTTTTTTTTTTTTAATACAAACACCTGAAATATTAATCACTTAACATAACGAGTTCACAAAAACAAGGAATACAATGTAAAAAATCTGGACATGAGCAGTTCTTCAGAAAAGACAAAACTTGGAAAGGCACAGGCATGGGAACAGAAGAAATCTACATTCTCTAAAGAGAATTTTCTAACAGCAGATGAACTTGTCCTGCTACGATTCACATGGCTTCTTTTCCAGTAGGAGTATCTCCTTCCCACTGAGTACTCATAACTCTCATTAAAGCTAATGGATATTATAAATATCCAAGGAATGCTACTGTAGGAGACAAGCACAACTCCACATGAGCTTGTGAACGCTTATGTGTATGTGTTTATACATAAATACACGTGAACAGTAGATGACTATTTCTATGCTTATTATTCAAAATGAGTAAATGTGAAATTGTATGTGCAGATACGGACTTAGGCATCAATTACATGTCCTCTGCTAAGGCCTCCACAAATCCAAAACAAATTAAAATGCTATATACTTCTTGAACTAAAAAGCTCAAAAGGCATATTGCAATCTGTCAAAACAAAGTGAAAAAGGGCAGGCAAACAATAGGGGGTTTTGCAAGGAAAAGATGCTGCATTGTTTACTGAGGATGCCAAAGACTGCATTCCTAGCAAGGCATTTCTGTAAATGCCAGCAGGGGATGAATTAACGGCTTTTTCTAAACAATACACAGAGGTAGGTAAGAGTGAATTTGTATATGAGGAAGGGCACACTCTCTGCTTACACAGAATCCTCCATTAAAGTAGTGCAGAAAAAAACATTAAGCATTTGTTAAATCTGAAGGAATATTTATGATCAATTTTCTCAAGCTCACTAAGTTATTCTTCACCTATGGATAACAAAAACAACCTGATTAAACATTTTTTAATAAACAGCTAAACTGTTTTTGAAGTGGCAGCATAGTTGACAAAGCCCCAATACTTACACTAATGCACGTTTCAAAATAAACATGGATTTATGGTTGGACACCAAGGGTCCACATATCTAATTGAGAGGAACCCAAGCAAGCACTTCTCCAGACCTTTCTTCTGAACATTTCCTAGATAATTTTCAGTAAAAGATATCATTTATGCTTAGCTTACTTACTTTTCGATACCTCAAATGATTCAAATTTCACAGGCTGAATGTAGTTCACCAGGTTAGACATCTCTTCTGTGGCCATAGCCTCACTTCCAGCAGTACCCTAAGGACAGAGATGGGAAAATGCTGACATTCTGGCTGGTCAAAATCCATGATGGCCATCAAGGGTCAAAAAAACCAAAGCCCATTTTTTTCTATCAACCATGAAAGAATCATCTTTCACTATTCTGTGTGATTCTGTGTGATCCCATCAATGCCTCACATGGGAGCTTCACATACTAATAAAGGAAAGATGTAATACAATGTAAACGTTTAATTAAAATGCAATTGTATTATTTCTTTCTACCTGGCATCCAGGAAAAAAACTGCATTACCTTTACATATGCATGGTGATATGCACACAGTATTAACCACGCTTACCTGTACTGCTGAATAAATAAAAAACCTAGCTCTACATTTTCAACATCCAATTTTATTTCCAGTGGTGCCAAATGCACCACAAACAGTTGCCTCAGATCATCTGTAGTGTTATCAAATCTTACTTTTCAATAAATTGAAATATTAATAAACAAAATAAAGATTCCAAACCCATTGACAACCAACTTCAGAAAGTGATTGCCAGTGCTCTGCCTTCTTTTTCCCAGTAGATGGCAGTCCCACTCCTGGTAACACAGCCAACCCAGAACTGCTGGAATCGATCCATCACCATAAAACAAATCTGTGCCCTTACTTCATCCATCGACGACTTTTTACAATCATCATCGTAGTCATCATCATCATCGCTCTCAATCTCTGCTTCTCCTGAAATGTTTTTAGCAGAAGACAATTACTGGTTGAAGCAATAGCTATAAATATCAGGGATAAATCTGTGAAAGATGCACACTGCTTAAAAGAGAAGACGTTATACATGTGCTATTTGTCACAGCACAAATCAAACTGTTTAGAGGGATTCATCCTTGCTTATCATTGGTAAGTTCCTACTGTCTAATCAAACAAAGATTCTTGCTTTTCAGCTGCTGGACACTTACTATTTGGAAATCACAGGACAGGTTTCAGCACCAAAAAAAGCATCACGGTGTGTGCATAGTGTGCAGGTATAATATTACAAACTACTCTGACGAGCTGTTCCCATGCTTGGGTCACAGCTCTGTGGTTTAGGATTTCTCTGCTACAGGATCCCAGCGTCACCTTCAGTGAATGCTTTTGTCCTCCTGGCAAAGCACACACATCACAGCATTCACAGGGTGAAGAAATCATGCATAAAAACTGACATTCACATGCTGCAGTAATGAGGGCTGCTCAGAGAAATGCATCTGTTCTGAAGATACCACAGCATGTGCACCCAGGTAGCACAGCTGGCAGGAGTCTGCTCACACTTCTCTCCCCTGATACACCGCTGGTGTGTCTGACTGCTTGGACTCATTGCTCAGCTGCACCGGCTGAGGGCAGTGCAAATCGAGTAATGTGATGAAGATGCATAAAGATCATCCTTCCCCTGAAAGCACACTGACAGTGTAAATAGGAGCAAATGAAACATTTTTTAAGACTTGTTCCCAATTGCAATGTACTAACAAATTCCTAGAGGTAAGACATAGATTCATTATTTTTAATGAATGAATATCCTTCCCTCCCTAGTGTTTTGATTTGGTTGCGTTGGAAATCAACCCATCTTTCTCTTAGGTAACTCCTCCTGTGTATTTGGCAGTCACAAGGTATACACCATGTACCTTTAGAAGACTCTGGAAAAGCAGGTTTAACTTCTACTGCAGTCACCTGTCCACACCTTTGAGATCGACAACACTTCTTTAAAGGTTTCATTTCACAAACCTTTCAGCTTTCTTCAGCAGTGGCAATTATTTTGGCAGCACAAAAATCTTAACCACTGTGCAGCATTCCCCAACTCTCCAGAGAACGGTATTTCAGTTTCTACTGTCACCACAGGGTCTAATCCAAAGCCCACCGAATCTAGAAATTCCTCTCTGTTCCAAGAGGCCTTGAATCATGTCTAGGGAGGCCACGTACATCACATACGATTTAAATAACGAGTGTGCCTTTCACAATGAAATGATGACTACCCAGGCTGCAGATGCAGATGTTGAAATGTCATGCTGTTATTCATGAACACATTTCTTCCTGAACATTTCATTGAAGAAAATAACATGATTGCTCAACAGGCTCAAGGGACAGTTCAGGGAACCTCAGTGTACTACAAAGAGCTAGCCATGTTCTCACAGGATTTACAGGGACAATCTTTGGGTGGGAAGCTCTCAATCAATTCATCTGGACTGGCAAAATAATACTCCCCATAGTCTACAAGGGGGACATGGGCAGATTTCAGCCAACTTGCACTGCTGAGATACCAGCTTGTTCTTGCTGGAAGTGTTCAGGGAGGGAACACAGTATTCTTTTATTAAAAAATATTTAACAGGAAAACTCCCAAGGAGATCAGATCTCTTTTTCAAGTTATTCATCAGACTGCAAATCCAGCACAAATAATATACAGGATTGCAAGCACAGAACTAGGAGTTTTTGAACCTATGACTATGCCCACATTGACTTTCCCTCACATGCATGGCTCTGTCCTCAGACCAAAGCTTCTTTTCGCTGTTAAACTGCTGGGACACAAACTCTGAGCAAGCCTTGATCAGACAGAGATGATGTCTGTGCTACAGATGCCTCTATGCTCACCTTCCCACACAGTTGGTGAGATTTCTTCCATGCCATCACTTCTAGTCATTAAAGTACATGTGCTGGCATATGCAGTATGACCCAGTACATGCGTGTGTGTGCATGCACGCAGGGGACAACTAGATGGGATTCCAAACAGCAGCACAGGACATCCCTACGCAAAGTGTAAGACAGATACAGAGAGAGTTCCTGCTGCAAAAGCTTGCTGTACAAGTATAAGACAAGAGCCAGCCTGTGGACAAGGGCAGAGAGAAGAATATCAGGAAATAAAAAGATCATACTCCTATCACACACAAAGACCAATGACTTTCAACAGCTCCAAGAACTACACAGCAAACTTCCCAGTGGAGTAACAGTACTAGTTTCAAGGATATTTTCACTACTAAGAGGGGCAGAGTTGTGAAGGCATAAGAGCACTCAGTGGACAATGCAACAAGCAGCCAAAGGAGGCTGAATCCCTACTGATGAATAGATGAGGTCGATGCTGTAATACTGAATAGAAGATGATCGGGAGAGGAGAGCTGGGAATGACAAGCCAAATCATCGTTACTAAGGGCAGGGAATCAAAGAACTAAAGAATATTTAATCCCACCACGACTCAGCAGTTTGACAGACAAAAGTGACAGATATTGAGAACTTAATAAAATGCAATATGTTGCTTGGAAAATTCAGGAGAATTTGCTAATTTACTTCGTCAGGGTCCTTTAAAAGAACAGTCAAAATGGATTGTAAGTGTGATATCTACTGATGCTGCTTGATAACTCCGTGAATTGGATTTACGGTATTCACGCAGCTACCAACACCTTGTGGAGGAAATCACCTCTCATTATTTGCAAAAGCTGTACATAAGCATTAACCATTTTTGAAAAGGAAAAGTAAACTTTACTCAGATGCCAGAACATTTTACTATATAGCAATGGGTCACTGCCTCAATGGCTTGCAGCAGCAGTGCATTTATCAAGCCATCGAAGTATTTATGAAAACTAAGTATTAAACTTCTTACTCAGTTTTCCAGTTAGTCACACAGAAACCAGGGAGATGATTCTATTTTCTCTCTGTCTTCCTGTGACTTCCTTACAGCAGCCACTACTTAGAGAAAAATTTGATTTTGTTACGGGGAGTTCACCAATTTGCTCCAAAATGTACATACTATTCAATTAACAAGTTTTGGTTTCCTGAAGCAAAGGCCTGCAACATACAGACACACATTCAGCAGAACTGACACTTTCTTTTGGCAATGTGATCTAACTATTTACACTTATTTGAAAATTGCACCTGTTTCCTTCTTTATGTAACCAGGATCTCAGACTCTTATTTACCAAAATGAGATTTACACAAGTGTTATCTCAGAAATTCCTTTTCTGCTTTGCCAGCATTGCTATATCTATGGGGCCAGCTTTAGGGATGTAAGCTTTTTCCACTTACAGATGTTACACCCTACTGAAGTTAGTTTTTACAACTGTCTTGAACAATTTGTGAACCATTCTGCAAAACTCCTGTTTTAGAGTTGTTTTTTTAATCATTGCTACCATATCATCATCACTGAGTTTTCATACAGTATGTTTTATAAACTTATCACAAAATTGACTTATTTGGTCTTAATTTAAACCTGAGCTCAAACAATGTAAGGCACAGATAAATCAGCTATTAACTGACATATGAATCTCTGTATTTTTTGCACTGCATGAAAATACTCATTTAAAATCTCGTGAAGGCCAGATCAGCACAACTTTCCCCTGTAATCATCAGTAATGTGGGGCAGAGTAGTGGAGGAATAAGAGTGCTCAGTGGACAACACAACAAGCAGCCAAAGGAGGCTGAATCCCAGCTGATAAGTAGAAGAAGTTGACACTATAATACTGAATAGAAGATGATCAAGAGAGAGATGCGAAGGTTAGGCTGGACAGGGCTGTGAGCAACACGATCTAGCTGCAGATGTCCCCATTCGCTGCTGGGGAGCTAGATGAGATGACTTTTAAATGTTCCTTCCAACTGAAAAGATTTTATGGTTCTCTAATCTACAGAAGTGCTCAGTGCTCATAGCTGTAGCTGAGATCTCCAGAAATCTCTGCACTCTGAATACTTCTCAATTTAGCATAGTCTTAAAAAGCAAATCCTGAATGTTCCTTGTCAGTTGCCTCTGAATTGTTCTTAAGCCTCTCAGACTCTGCTCTTCTTCGCTAAAATTAGATTAATACTATCTCACTCCCCACAGGTATTGTTAATATAAATTCACTGTTGTTTGTCAAGTGCTCATATGCAGCATGGATATCCCCACAGAAATACACTGCAAGGTGAAGATGCTAGATCTGGAATAGCGTATGAATGACAGAGAGTGAAAAAATATTGACTTATTGTCATTTTCCAAAAGAGGCACAGGAGAAACAATGGCTGTCAAGGATTACAAGTATACACTTGCCCATTCACAGATGAATCAAATGACCACATTAATTTTGCCATCTCGGTTCTTGCATTTTCTAGGTGTTCACCTTTGAAATCTATAGGGAACACCATTTGTTACATAAGTAATACAGACATAATATTCACAACTGATTTTTAAAATTACAAACTCTGCTATGGGACTTACTCCTCTGTCTTTCCCTAACCATCAACACCCAAGATTCACAGCCCGAGCCTTTTCCTGGGAGGCTCCTGAAGTACCCAGCTGTTACCTTCCATGCATATCGGATAGAGAAAAAACCAGAGCAAACCAGTTCCCCTCAGGTTTTGAGGAGAAAGAGGTTGGCATATGCTCGCTAATTTTTCTGCTGCTTCTGGTTTGTCTAGAGCGAACCATGAAAACAGAAGTAAATCATTCCTGACACCATGATGAATCTTCTGAAATTTAAGCTCTAATCCAAAGCATGACCTTTTTAAAGTTTCTTAACACAATGGCTGAAAACTCATTCTGTCTTTGCTTTTAATAGGATAAACAATGTTATCCACAAATACAACAGGATTGTTGTTTTGTTTTTAATTGAGCTTGAGGCAAACTGCCAGCATGAAGACTTTCAGCTCGATTAATCGGAATTTGAAAAAAGTTATAAACAAGAGGGTAAAAAAATTGATGGCAAATGACATGAAGTATATATTCTAGAAGAGCTTTCAATCCACATTTAAAGTATTCCACTATTAGGGCATAAACACTTTATTTATTTATTTATTTTGCTTTTAGCAATTTACAATTTCAGTCCTATGAAGAAGTAGAAACTGTGGTCCTGGGAACAGACACCAGGTTGGGAATTGGGATACACACATCTTATTGCTTGTCCTGCTGATGATCCGTTCCCATCACGTAGCATAAATCTTTTTTCCATGCACTTTTATTTTTCTGTTCTAGCTAAACTTTAGGCTTTTCAGAGCACATCTTACCATATTTTTTTGTATACTAATACTTACAGTGGTCCCCTGCATATACCCTAAGCATTATTAGTATATATGCAATGAATTATAGTTGGTATATGGAGTTAGTAGCTTGTTCTATTTCCTAAATAGCCCAGGTAAATGTTAGTGTACTTCACTGATTTTTAGGTCACACTATAAATGATCCCTCAGCCTTGAGACCTCTGAAGACTCCTAGAGTAATGAGACTTGGTGTTGCTTCCTGTTGAGCAAAACCTATCCTGGTGTACCTTTACCCTACTAGAGCAATGTTAATGGCTTGAAAATCACAGTTGTAATTAAGTATTTGTGTTTTAGTGAGAAGCATATTTGTAGATTCCATTCATACCTGCTCCTGGGGAGGAAGGCTCAAACATACTAGATGTATCACTGCAAGTGTTGGAAGCTTGCTCTGCGAGCTTCTTCTTGGCATTTCCATCTGCAGACTTATGTGATTTCTTTTTATTTTTCACCAGAATTTTGTACATTAAATCCATAGGGCTTGGAAGAGGAACCCCAGGTTCAAGCTTTCAGAAAAGAAAGAGAAATCTTTTACAACAAAACAAGAAACAAGCTTACAGCAATTTCTTAAGACCTACATGGTGCATAATTTTGTAACCTCTATGAACCCTGGTAAAATGCAACCACTTGAACAACAGGTAATCTTCATTAAGTGAAACAGGGCTACAGAAGGCATATAAGAGAAGAAAAATACCTTATGAAATGTCTATAGCAATAACTTCGGTAAGTTCAAATGTGAAAGCAAACATTATAAATCAGTGGCTATAAGAATCAATTGCAATTAGAGGATTACAAAGCAGTATATCAAAACAACTTTTGGATCAGAAATGATACGACTACGTCACCAACATCACAAATTGTTTAAAGCCCTCTTTTAGACTCTGTCTTGGAAGGCTGCATATAAAGAATGACATTGGACTGAACAAAGTAGAAATTCACAAGATATCTATGATCTTATAAATACCAAACCATATTACCGGGTATTTTTCCAATGGATCCATAAGCAATGCATCTCCAAATATTAATCTGCAGTACTCTGCCATTTTTGCCTGTTGTTTAGGGCTAAAGGGGAGAAAAGAAAGAAAGAAATGAGTCCTACTAATGCTACAGACTGAAAGCAGCAGTAATGGAATACCTAATATCCCTAAACAAGATATAATTTCCTGATTCAATCACTGTGAATTGTTCACAGAGACATAGATATATCATGCAATTATTCTGATTCTTTTGATAAAGCTCATCAAAAGGATGACACATGAAGTCACTAGGCACTTGAATAATGGTAAAACTGAACTTTGGAGTTGTATTTTACCCACGCACTTAGGAGAAAAAAAAATGAGGATATCAGTTATCACCTTTGGGGAAATAACTTGCATGAATTTGCCTCTTTCAGACAACATTTTATTCAAAGATTGCATATTTTCCTCCTTGTGTTACTTTACACACACGCCAGGCATTCTTCTCACACCCCTCCTTCCATTTGGATTTTTTTATTTCTCATCATACCTGACCTAAGGCATCAAAACCCTAACAGTTACACACAGAGCAGCCTCCTCTGCCAGCGTCCCAAACTTGTCATCTTACAAGGTCGTGCCCTTGAGTCTCCAGGGCACAACTGCAAGAAAAATAGGGAGAAGACGTTACTTGAGTTTCAAAAGCAGCAAAAATGCATCAGTTAAAGGTACTGATAGAGGAGCAGCTAGCTTCACTGCAGATTCCATCTCAGCAGCCCACATTCCCAACCTATTTGTTTCAGCCTATGTGAGATGAGTGCTTTGGGTGCTGTGCCTGTAGCATGACAGTCTCTCCTGCTCAAGCCCTACTCCCAGAAGCAGCTTTGCAATGCTCTCCCCCAGGTGGTGCTGGCCCACTCGCAGACCTCATGGGTGAGGTTAGCACCAGCAGCTTGTGCTGCTCCCACCTCCTGCTGCATCCTCACTGGCAGAAGTCATAGCATAGATGTAATTAGTCCTAATGTTAAGAGGCATTATGTCAATTTGGAGAATTGCTGTAGTAAGTGCTGGTGTAACTGCATTTTAAATTAAATACTGCATGCCTGTAATGCATACGTAGCTGGGACCAATATAAATACACCAGGTGGAACTGCCAATGATTATTTTTGCTTGTTTTTGGGTCAACAGTCAGATTCTTTATTTCCTTATTTTCAAATCAGATCTGGTGTTGAATTTTACCACGATAAATTACTTTAGTGGTTGTCTTGACGTCCTCTAGAAATAAACTCGATCTCAGCAAGTTTTACTCACAATCAATTTTCCCAAAGTGCAACACAATAATGAAATTGCTGCGTATCACAGTGATAGGAGTTCTGGGATTGAGGATAGGTTACATCACTTAGAAATATTACCCAAATCATCTTAACATACAGTGCAGTGCTAAAATCATTCTCTAATTTTAGACAACTGTGCATGTTTGTTATATACGTCTAACAAAGTCTGGAACATCTGAGCTTAGGTTTCTTCCAAAATTTTCATTTTTGATACTCTCTGGAGAAGTTTTGATTAAAGTTTGTTTAATACAACTTCCTCAACTATTATTAATTATGAACCACATACTATGGAAGATACACAAATGATATAAGCACGTATGTTACGTTACCATGGAGCTATTTTTCATGACAAAGTAGAACAGAATATGTATGAAAAAAGTAGTGTTCATTTTCTCTTACAAACTAGGAATACAGCAACTTCACTGTCTATTTTGCCATTAGCCACCAACTGAGCACTTGGCAATGGAGCTCTTCCTGAGTTCAGCAGGGCTAAACCAGAGCTGAGATAAAAGGTGGGTGGCATTTGAATCAGAAAATGTAATTTCCCCGAGATCAGCATGCTGGCTGTCCCTTGAAGCAGATACAGGGTGAACTGGTCATTAGCTCAGTCATTTACAAAACATACCGAGAGTAGGTTTTAAATTATTCCACCAAGCTATAGAAGTGCTGCACGCAATTTAAATCACTACAGTATTTCATTAATTTCTTTTACTTGCAGCCAATTCTGCAAAAACGCTAAGAGCCACTTTTAGTTGAGGATGGAAAATTAAGATGAAGACAGGCAAGGCAGTGAAACTAAGAACCCACAAAGGAGATGGTGACGGGAGGAATAGATCAGGCAGTGACAATGCTTTAGCTATTACTAACTGCCAGCTACCAAGAAAAATAAAGGCACCACATTCTGTTCCAGTAAGAAAGCAGACTGAGTATTTTGCTACAGCTATCGCCTACAAGGGGTCTATGGGGATTATTCCAATCATCCCCATAAGTATGTCCTGTGAATACACCCATGGACTTAGGACCCAGAAAGTCCAAGGAACATTTCCTTGAATCACAAGAGCACAGTAGTTAAAGTCTTACAAATTAGATGTGAGTTGTGACACCTGCATTTCTGAATGGCCACACTGACTCCAAAAAAGAACTTCTGATAAGAAATAGAAAAAGGATGCAAAACTCTTATCTAATAACTTTCATATAAAACAGCTAGAACAAATTCAGAACAAATTCTTCTGTCATTCCAGGTTTAATTATACATGGTTACATCATAGAGTAAATAGTGAGGACTTCCATTTTTGCAAAAGAGAAAAATTCTATGCAGCACTTTTTGGTTTAGCACATAAATTCCAATGTAATCATTTTGCAGAGGGGAAAAAAGGAAGAAAAGGAAAAATAAGAACTAACAGTTGTTAATAATATAGAAATACATAAAAAATAATAATATAAAAATAATAAATCACAAATATAAAGTCTTGCAATACTAGACAATGTCAAAGAACAAAAATCTTGACATAACAGAATTACTTTTTCTTGTCAGCTGGATCATATGAACTGTTATTTTTAAAAGCCCCCAAGAAAGAACTTGATACATTTAGGAGATAAGAATTATGTAGGAGTTCAGTATTTAAACAAGTGGTACCTTCTATGATACCCACAAATACATACTTCATTTTAAGTGAGAGAGAGAGATCATTAGCAATACTATTACTATTAAAGTGCTTTACAAGTTGGAGTATTTGTTTCCTTTTATTTTCTTTTCTTTTCAAAATTATGAACCAGAGCAACCAACTTTTCTATATCAATGTATTTCCTCATCTGTGTTGTTAACAACAGCAAGTCATCTAATTCCAGAGGGAAAAAAAACGCCCATATCTATTGTTATTGGAAATTCTCCTAGTGTTCATTTAACGTAATGAAAATTGATTGCCTCAAAACAACTCTATCTGCTGGATGATTTCCACTTGTGTGGATACGGATGGTTACCACATGGAATGTATACATATGCCCTTAGAATGTGGCAGGGCAAGGGAAGAGAAAGTGGTAACGTGACACCCGGAGATATGGAAGTACAGGGAATCTGAAGAAATGTTTTCATTAACTTTATTGCATTGCTTGTATTTTATTTGACTGTCTTGGTGCTATGCCATTTATGAAGGTCATTCACAGAGGCTCTCTGATACTACCACACAACTACTCCTAACGTTGTGTTATCGCTTCTGCAGAGGTCCTTATTCTGCATAAAGCAAACAAAGACACAGATCCTTCCCAAAAGAGTTTAAAATAATTTGAAGTGTTGGAAGAAAAAGTGATAATAATTCCATTAATATTTGAAGAAACAATTCCAGCAAGAAATCAGCTGTACGAATAACTGTAATTAAATTTAATCTTGGAAGAAATCTACGGATATTGCTCAAGGATCACTTAACCTTTTTGCTATGTCATCAGTGCATTTCTAATTATAGGTTGTCTGCTTTCAGATTTGCAGATACCTTATCTTCTTGTAAGCTCAGCTTTAAACATCAAGGTCTTCTTGAGGTCTTTTAAGAATTTTCAGGTCAGTTTTCTGTTTTTTGAGAGAAGCATGTCTTTTCTTCTTACCGTCTTTTTCAGTATCCATATTTAGATTTTAATAAAAATGATGGTATGCATAACATTGTATATAATCTAAATTCTACAACTTATTTATTTTTCTAAACTTTTCATTGTATAAAAATAAAAGAACGAATACACAGAGTAAAGGAAATCAAAGTTATTTACATGCTACGTGTTTGAGAGGAATCCTACAACAAAATCTGAAAGAAAGCAAAACTAGATGACTAACACTATGTGCTAACAAACAAACAATTTATTTCTTAGGTGAACAAAAAGTGTTAAAAATAATCCTGTAAACAGAAACCCGGGGAAGAAAAACTGCATTGTAAGTCCAGTGGTGATGAATCCTGTCATATGTATGCTGCTGATATATAACTCACTTAACTCTGATAACTGCAATGCCTAACAGCCATGCATAAAAATCACAGGGTAAACCATACTTCTGTTTAAACCAATGCCAACATTTCCATCCATTTGTAGGGGACCAGCATTTCACTTATGCACACTGACTGACTCTTGCAACTTGACAATCAGAAGAGAAAATTTGGTCACCCCAAAGTAGGAATTGATGTCATTAAGACTTGTTTTGACAGTTCTACAGAAACACTTAGCAGTGTTTGTTAATACTCACAAACTCAATTTTAAGATCTAGGAGAAAAACAACATTCCAAGTAAAGGAAAAGACAAAGGGAGCATTCCATGGAATTAGATGAAGGTTTCTTTGAGTGGCATGACTAATTGCAGATTTCAGTAGAAACCAGTAAAGAAATGAAGGGATAATTGTAGCAGTCAGTAAAATAACTAGAAATTATTTTCAGCCAAAGCAAAATTAGAACTCACACACACTAAGTTTGATGATTTACTGCAGCAAAAGATCACAAACAACAGTAGAAGCTCAAAAAGAGAAAATATTTTAAATTGATTTCTTAGACTTCCTTTGCTAAAAATGTATGTAATAGAAATAAATAAGAAAAAAAAAACAAAACAGAAAACATTGAGATAACATTCTTTTATGACTGGAGTTTTCTGAAGAGGAAGATACAGTGCTTTCTGTGGGGCAGAATTCTTAAGATTGAAGTAATGCAGCAGTAATTCTGGTATCTCTGATACGTTCACGCAGCGTCACCACACCTTTGACTCTGATGAAGTCTCATCATACAGCTTTGTGCACATACCTCACATCTGAGCCAAGTTTGTCTTATGCAATTATTTACTATATGTTCTTAACATACAACAAGCCACTCTGGAAGATTTAAGTCTTAATGACTTTAGAAGAAGAAAAACATAACTGTTCTGGTTAAGATAAATTAGAAGTACCTTCTCCAAATATATGTTTTAGTAGAAAGAGAAGAATGAATACAAAATGAAATGGATTTAAGAATGATGGTTGAGAACTTTTCTAAAGACAAGAAGCTGCATTTAGAAGTACTGTGAAAAGCACTGTGAATTAAAACCTACTGCAGTACGTGAGTATAAAAGCCTTGGAAGTGATACAACCAACCCAAAAAGAAGAGTGAGGGGACTGATTGGAGAAAGAAAATAGCACAGCACGTGAGTGCTCTTTTTGAGGAAGACAGAACCAACTGAGAAGGATTTAACAGTTAGGTAGATTTTTTAAATAACCACACTGTCTTATAAACCGCACAATGCAAGCATGTGTTTGTCAACAAAACATAGCTTAAGTTTATTCTGAAAGGTTATAGGATCATAGAATGGCTTGGGTTGGAAGGGATCTCAAGGATCAAGTTCCAACCACCTACCACAGCACCTCAACACCCTTTCAGAGAAAAATTTCCCCCACATATAATCTGCATCTTTCCTCCTTCAGCTTAAAAACATTCCCCCTTGTTCTATCACTATCTACCCATGTAAAAAAATGGATCGTATGGTATTATATGGTAAACATGTTGTGAAGGTAAGGGCATTGTATGGAAGCTCTGAGATTTAAAATTTTTCTACCTAAGCCATTTTTGATCAGCACTGTCACTCTGTTCTTAAACACATTCATTTATAGCTTCCTCTACCAGTTTCTTTTAAAAAGAACGTTCTTCCTAAAACAGTGGAAAAGCCAGCTAGCCCTCACCTTTTTCCTTTTTGAAGAAAAAAGTGCCAACACCTTTTCTAATTTGTATTAAATCCCTGAAGATTACTTTTTCTTTTAAATGAAAGAAATGTTTCTCAACCCAAATTGGCCCCAGAAGTGCTGAAAATGTTTTCAAAGTAGAAAACAAAAGGGAGCAAGGCAAGCGAAGCTAAGGCACATGATATGTGCCAATGTCATTTCATTTTTAACTGTGGTGTCTATACACAAAATCAAACAAAAGATCATGTGAAACATAAAAATGAAAACCAGATCTAAGTTAGTAATAACAACATAGGTAACAGGGACAAATTCATAAGTGTTCTCACTTTTTTTTTTTTGCTTCGCTTCTGCAGTAAAACATGCATCATTTGCAATTAAAACAAGCAAAGCTCCCTGAAGAGAAAACAGCTTATGCAAATAGATATTTTCTTTTTTTTTTTTTTTTTAGAAAGTGAAGAATTGCTAGCTTTACATGCTCCCTATTTTGCAATCCTAGCTAGGCTAGGCCTAGTCCCGGTAGAGAACTAGTTCTGGTAAAGGCCAATTCTGGCCTTTATTTCTAACATAAGAAACAGACCAAATACTGTGCATAGAATATGTTTGTAGTGCAGAACAGGGTCACAAGCAGGTGAAACATTGCTTCTTTTTCTTTGGTGAAGTACCACTTCATTTCAGTAGGGCATACTGAGCCTATAAAATTAACAAAATTTGACTCATAATTATTTAAGCTTTCTCTGTCCATCTAAAGAATCTAAATATTCTAATTCAGGAAGGTTTTTAAGAACATATCCAAATCATTCTGATAATTTTAGCTACTTAAATTGATGCAACCTTTTAGTTTGGATAAGAGCTGTTGATCACATCAGATAATAAACCTGCCTCAACTTCATTCACAATCCTGTGTTTAGTTACAAAAATATAACACCATACAGGGAAACAGGGTAATTACTTACGAATCCACATGATTTTCAAAGGAAAGGAGGATTGGAAAGGGCGACGTCTTAAATGCACACTCAGCAATAGCTTCTATTACTTCCTAAAGAATCAAAATACACACAGTTACAAACTCATGTCTCCATAGAAACAAGTATTTTGGTGTTTGAAAACAGATAAACCCAACAGAAATTGTATCCAAACTACCTAAAATCATACTCAGATCTTCTATCCTAAACATCCTCGAAAGCTATACATGAGCTTTCTGCAGCAACCAATTTTTTCTGCCTGAACTGTAACCACACCTCCAAAATGTCTGATGAATCTCCTGCATGATGCTTCTCCAGAGAAGACCTATGTCTGCCTAAATCAGAAGTTCAAATGTAAAACTTGGTCTTTGCACAGTGTTGTTCCATGCCTGAAGCTATAGTTTTCATGAATTTTGCATAATAATAATGACACTGACAAACTCATATCTTCTACAAAGTTATCTCATATCACACTCATATAATCAACACAAGCAGATACCCTTAAAATCCTTAGTGACTGACTTACAGTTTTAGTTCTCTGTGATTTCTAATGAGAGAAACCTCTCCAGAGCAAAAGAAAGGAGAAAGTGACTCAATTATAACAGCATAGTATTAATCACAAAGGGCTCAGAAATTTAAAGTTATGTAGAAGTGTCATTTTGCTTTTGCTAGAAAGTAACAACTGTAAATATAATACCTTAATCATTTGGTGATACTAACTTTAGTGAGGTACATGATACAGCGATGCACTCAGCATTAGAAATGATTCTCAATTTCCTATTGGAATATTGATCTTTTTTTCATGACAACTTATTGAGTACTGAAGGTTTTACTGTTCTCTCTGTCAACTTCTGGAGTTTGAAAGATCTCATAAGCCTGTTCCACCCCCAATCATAATAATGACTTAAAATTTTAAGATTTATTTATTTCAAACTAGCACTCCATGGCGATTCCTTTTATTCACTTTCCGTACTTGAAAATGCTAGATTCAAAAGTGTAAAAGAAATGCACTTCCTAACATGAAAGCAGACCTTCTGGACCATTCCTTCTGATTCTGGGCTGAAAGTAACGCATACACCATCTCAAAATCTGCTGATATAAGCTATGCTATGTCCACAATTTACAGCCTTTACGAGAGGCATGAACTGTCACAGCATGTCTTACAAGATGAGAAAGTAGCTTCTTCAGCACACTCCAACAGGTGATGAATGACTCCATTTAATAAACTGCAACCATCCAATATATGAATGCCTCACATATCACTAACAATTCACATGCTTCAACTAAGTCTTTAAAGAAAGCAGAAAGGCAAAGTATTTACTGAGGGAACAATAAGTGGTGCAGAAGGCTGCATGAAAGCAGGTAGGAAGCTGCTGTTTCGCAGCAGTGATTCTCCCATGGGCGAACAACATACAACAGAGTGACTCTTGCTGCACGCTCTTTCCAGCACCAGTAAATCACTAAATGCTGATGGCACCTTACATTGGTTGTAATGTGGGACTCTCAAGACCATCTCTGGCAGTTTTGCCATTGCAAGAGAACAGCAAGACTGAGAATAGGATTACAAATATTAAGTCATCTCATCTAAATGCTTTCTACCCACATCACTGGTGTTGGCTTGGTCTCCACCCACTTACATCCTACCCCCTTTGCTTACAGAGCATGACCCAGGGCTTAAGAAGACTGGAGACTGGGTATGAAAGAACTGCTGAGAGCAGTCCTGAGGGAGGCCTTTCAGGCTCTTATGCACTGCTTTAGCTGCAAATAAATCCATGAAGATCCATGAAGTCACTTTCAACTGCATTCTCAGCTGCAAAAAGGGGTACAATTCAGCACATACAAAGAAGAATAGCCTACAAGAGTAAAAACCAGGATGACATTGATGAAATTTGTGGATAAAAACCTCAGATACAGGGTCTGTGGCATAACAGTGATTCAGTCTCACAATGCCTTCAAATGTAAATGCAAATTCTCTATGGTCAGAAAAGAACAACATGGTAAGTGCCACGTTTTACTTCTGCTGCAGAATGACTCACCTGAAACAGGTCCCCAAGGTATTTACAAGTACACAGATTCCTGTTTATGGCATGAAAAATATTGGTTCCCTATAAGATCACATCCAGCAGCTTGCAGTCTGCTGCTGAGAAAAATCTTCTAAATGTCATGAAGCAAGGCAAAAAGCAAACAAACAGAAAAAAAAATCTACTAAAACCTCAGAACAAAAACTCCAGCAACATAGGAATGGGCAGCACATACTGCTTCTTTCTTTGTGCTTCAGAAAGTCTGTGTGAGGCAGTGAAAGGCGAGACAGTGAATGTCTGAGACACTGTGTGCTGCAGTCACGCCAAAAGCATGAACTGACAAATGATTTAATATTCGAGACCCAGTAATCACTCTGAATTGATTCATGTACTTCTGACACATTATTTCACTATCATTTTGCTCCTCTTAATCCAAGCAGCATACATTGAGTGTTGAAAAGAAAAACAGCAGTCAATACATTTTTACAATTTCTGTGTGGAGAAAAATATTTGCCCTGAACTGACACACAAAATAAACTTGATTTGGTTTAAAACCCACTCCACGCTTCTCCTGCAAAAACAATGCTTAGAGTTGAACTTCTAAGCTACCAGGATGGTCGCCAACAGGGCGATTCTCATTCCTACCAACCTTCCTTTTAAGAATCAGGTTAATTTTGTTTTAAATTCCAACTCACGGCCAAAGAAGTTGAGAGCTATCTACCCTAACTAAAGGACTTTCAGCAATCAAACTCTGCATATAAACATAAATGGTTTTCATCAGTTTCAGGAGAAAGTTAATATCGAAAGTGAAAGAAGGTTGTGTTTTACATTTTCCTGTGATTAATTCAATCAGTGGAGAGTTAGAGAAAACAAATTGACAAAAAATAAGGAATGTTCTGGTGTTGAGTGAAATTTGGTGTTTTGTCTGTGTGGTAGTACTGTTATTTTTTTCCTCAAGGAAGGAAATATAAGATAGAAGAAAAAACAACAGCAACTCATGCTTCAGATGTGGGAGACATGCTTCAAATTTGTAATTTGTAGAAAAACCACATCTATCACCTTGCAATATAACCAAATTCAGAAATCGACATTTTTCCACATCTTCTTGCACACCGGTAAGTCTAGAAATATATTTCCATAGCGAGTTAGTGTCTCGAACAAGAATTACTTCTTCACTCTTCAAAAATGGTTCTCGAGGTATCGTTACAACCTATGCTGACTACCAATATTAACACTATGGCAAAATATCTCTATCGCATTCCTCGAACACCTCAGATCAAAAACATCTTTGACAGTAGCAACCACGTAACAATTTAATGTTATTGCTAAGGTAGTGCTTTTACCTTTTATTACAGAAAAGGGAAATGGAAGATGAAATTCAGAAATACAGGTTTGAATGGCATTAATATCTCCTCACATTCTCCAAAGCTACTAATTTTTTTCCTCTTGTACTTCAGATCTGATCCCCAGTATCAGGGACAAGCGCAACCACCAAAAATCTCTTCCCCTACAAGGTTCACCTCTTCCAATGCTTCCACACATACTCTGAAATCTCCACTTAAAACACCTTTTTCCTTGTAAATTTTTCCTCCCTTCTACCTTTGCAGCAATATTGTAGCAAGGAACTTATCACGCTTTTTATGTGGAAAAAAAACCGCCCTAGCTGAAGCCAGCCACCCCAGCACGCTGTACTGCTGTACCTTGAAAGATATTTCAGTTGTCATAGTGAAGCCGTGCGTAATGACCGGCTCTTCTTCAGCTGTTCTCCCTTTCCAGCAGTCCAGCTCCACACAGCGGCAGCCTGACAGAAGCACTTGCCGATACATCTCCACTGAAGAGTTCCCAGCCAGCTGTCCAGCTGAGACAACATAACAAGGACATGAAAAAGGAGAGTCATTTTAGGCCCCGGGAATAAATACAAATAATCTAATGATAATTAGAGTTAACAGCATCTTTTACCCTCGGCTGACAGGAATAACACTCCAAGGCATACAAAATACATAATGATTTCATGGAAATGACTTAGGCAGAGTCAATGTCATGGTTTGCGTTCTGCCATAACTTAAACCGTTGTGAGTGAGGAAAAATAACTTTATCGAAGCCAATTCATAAACTTCTGTTAGACAGAATTAATATGAAATAACTTGTATCAGTTCTAAACCAAACAATGCGAAATCCAAAGAAAACTCAGGACAGCAATTCTCAAATACTATGCCATGTTCACTGCAAGATAAAAATCAACCTCCTGCACAATCACTAATGGTAGGTACCATTACCAGGTCTCAAATCTATATCTTAACACTGTAACCACTGCACTGAGTTGATCAGTAAAATTTCATGATGTGATACTATATTATGTAGGAAGAAGTTTAATTAGACTACTGACTTCCAACAGTGGCATAATATAAATCTAAAAATAAACAAGGAAAACTTAGTTCTTCCCAAACTTCAGAAGTATTAAACACTAAACAAACAAGTCCAGTTGTTGCGTTCAGGGAAGGATCTACAGCCACAGTGCTCTCTGCTGTTTCAATAGGTTGGGCTCCAGTTGGATGGATACAAATTTCTTCAAGCACAGAGAGAAAGATAACAGAAGACCAGCCTAGTGCTTGCTTTCTATGTTAAGAAAATGGATGCAGCTTCCTGCTTTCTAGCAGATGCGTCAAGAAGGTTTTCATGGATCCTTTGGAGGGAATTCACTTGCATTCTAAGGAGGCAGTGAGTTCATTTATGCTGAAGATTCTTCACTGATGGGAGTTACACAGAATGTTTTATGCAGACAAGCATATAATACAGTACAGATTAATCCTGGCTTTATAGTCTCTTTGGCTCTATGTTTAGGTTTTATGCTGAGAACTATATGTTTCAGTTGGCTTCACCAACAGTACTGTGTGTTTTCTCTGTGTTTTTATGTTCCACTATAAACAGTAACAAATCTCTTCTTGTTGGAAAGTTCCTGTTTATTCTGTGTGTCTGATGCGTGAATTGAAACAATTATAAACACTCAAAACATACTAACATTACTCCTATTGAAATCCTTAAAATTTCTCAGCACCTACTGGAACCAACAGGAAATACATGCTAATAACATAATTTGGCTAGTGTTGGAAGGTTCTGAAAATCTAAATGGAGTCAGCAAAGTGATGATGCGTCTCTTTCATTCTTCACTTTCTTGTGTGCCACTCCTTTGATTATCTCTACCCACACAATAACCCCCTTGGTGCTATCTCAGTACCTGTGGTAATCAGTGGCTCTTTGTCTTTACAGGGTACAAACAAGCAGTAGCACAGATCAGGGTACAACAGCACACATTTCCATGTATTCATATCTAAGCAACTGACATTAAATGGGTCCACTGAGCTCTGCTGCCTAAAAAAGCACATCCACTTAGAAATCTTGTTTTCATGTTCTCTTCCCTGGGTCTCAAAACATTTTTATTTGCATTTTGATTAACAAATTATTTTATGATTAACAAACTACTACATCTGCTGAGAGATGACCGGTCATTATTGCTAAGCATTTTGGTCTACAAGATCCATAACCTTCAAAAGTGCTTAAGTAAATCACCACATGCATCACTTGCCATGTAACAATTTTTGCACACTACCTCATTAATAAGCTGCAACCCCTTTGGAAGGATTCCTGCTAAGGACAAGAAGATGTTTAACCTCCAAAACATTCAATCTTAAGATACACTCCTAGTCCAAGCACAAAATGATAGCAAGGATTTCAATACTCTCAATAGCTTATTTTTCTAAATTTAGATTATTAGAGATGCTTGCTCAATTTTTTAATCTACATTATTTATAAACTTCTGTCGTGTCATTTGCATCTATTCCAAAGTGCGCTAACACAGACACTAAGGGGAATAGCTGCAGAATGATATTTTTAATATCCTGAGTACAGATCAAATTTGTAATACTGGAAATTGAAAATATTATGTATGCTCTTCTATAACACTTACAGAATCCACAATAGCGCCACAATATTTTGAACACCTCATTTATCAAGTAGAAACAGATTTTGCCAGATACATATATTACATATATAACATTATAACATATTATAACATGGGGCCAAATCATAATCGACACAAAAAAGGACACTAAGGCTAATAAGCCTATACTCATTCAAGCTGAGAACATGACCCATGTTTCCCCATACGCGCCAGTTCCATACTTCCACAGCTTGAAGTGACTTGTTTCTTAGCAAATGCATCTTCGTTGGATTTATTCACTGCTGTTTTTCTAAGTGCAAGACACTAGGAATGCATGAACTTAAAATTTAATTATGATCTTCAGATGTTTATCTTCCCCAAAATTGGTCCCAGTTATTTATTGTCCCTTTATTACTCTTGAAATGGAAGCTGCTCCTGCCACCTTAACCACCTACCACACCATTTTCTCCCAGCATGAAAAAGCAGCTGCACACTCCCGTTGCCCTAAATAAACATGATGCTAGATCTCATCTCTTCAGGGAAGTCCTGGAAAAGCAATCTCTGCTCTTGATCATACGTTGTAGCTTTCAACATGTAAACTCAGACCCCCGTACTACTGGGAGTTTGGCTTTTGACTCAAGCAGTAACAGAAGGTGCTGTTTTTCAGATTTTCCAGGCTCAGTACATTTATCTAAATTTATTCTCCTCTCAAGATATTTCACCACACACATGACTGTTGAATTAAAACCCATGCATGGCTATTCTGCTACTGTTAGCCTAAACAATGCTCTTGCCCTACACTGTTAATTTTAATGCTTTACACTGGACCAAAGTAGGATATGTGTCTAGCTTGGTCCAGCCAGCAGCAAGAATACATTTATCAGTAGCAATGCAGGTCCAGCAGAGCGGAAGATGTAACTCTTGCATACGGCAGGAGGGCTGGGGCTAGTTAGTCTGAGTCTGCATTTGTGTTTAGCTGTCAGTCATACTCAGGCAGCTGCACTGCTGCAGCCAGGCTACATGACAGAACTGGCACTGGGCATTATGGGCTCCCAGCAGTGGGACCTACTAGACCTTGAATCCTTGCAACCCTCCTGCACACCTAGCTGAGTCTCTCCAACTGCACTGAAGGCGAGACACCCACAGGGACCTACTAAAGGAGACTTTCCTCTGCTCTTTTCAACAGTTTTATCCTCCTTAAAGAGGGGGAAAATAACAGTTCTCTTATTTCACTATCCTGCCATTGGTTGGCCTTAAGACACACACACACACACAAAAAAAAAAAAAGATAAAAAACAGAGACGGTAAAAGGCACAGAAGATTTTGAAAACTCACAGAGTGATAGCAAATGAAATACTACTGGTAGGTAACAAAACACTTCAATGATCTTTATTTTTCTTCTTGAGAATCCAAAGTCGATCTCATCAAACAATTGGTTTTTTTTTAGTCTTTATGTTGACCTCTGTTGCTAATGGAAGCAAACTTCCTCTACGAATTTTTGTGCCAACTGCTGATCACGACTGTAATGATTAGTTTTGCCTTAAGGATACAATCTATTCAATTTTTTCTCTCCTTTTTGCATGGCTTCCACTCACTTTAAATCTAGAAATTCTCTTATTTGGAATATGGCTTCAGAATGAGAATTCGATCTGGCATGGGTGAAACTGGTACATGTACCCCGTAGGACAAGAAAAGGTAAACTGAGATTTAACAGGACAAGTACAAGCATCCAGCTGTCAAAACAGGAACAAGTATACAAAAATTTTTTACACAGCAGGACGTCCAAAGAACTTTTAATCAGAGGTCTGCTTGAGCAATCACTTTCTCACAAAAGCCAGTTGTCTCAGAGGAAGATGCAAGAGAGCTTCACACAGATAGGAATCACCAACTTACAGAAGATGCCCAAGATCTGCAGTGTTTGCTGAAATTTGTATAAATCTGTACACTGACAGTTCATTTAATCTTAATCCTTGATAATCTGACTCCAGATGGTGACACATCATATGCAAAACCATCAGTTTGTCCATTTAAGGTATAAAAACCAATCTTCCTTATGATAATGTCTAATCATTCAAAACTTCAGTAGCTTTTCCTGCCCCATCTTTGAACTAGGAATGGATCAGCAGGATCCAGCCCTCCTCCTCACCTGAACTCTTTTGCAGCCCACCCTGCCTCTCAGGAGAGAGAAAGTCCTCTGCACAGGTGTGCAGGAATTTATTTTCAGAGTGGGGCACCAAACTGGAGCCTCAGCAAACTCCTAAGACCTTCAACAAATATCATCTTTCCTCTGTGAGGCAACAGCTTACTCACCACTAATTTCTTTTTTAGTTAAAGTTAACTGCTAAGTTAATTTAAGGGCTGAAGTAAAACACTGTAGCTGTGGAAGCTGCTTCCACAGAACAGGCCACAGGAAGCAGATGGAGGTCTGCAGCTTCCCTCCTTTGAGGCAAAGTCATCGTGTTCAAATCAACCTCATCTCTAAAACTCAGCTCTTTCGCTCAGTGTTGCACAAGCTTTCATAATATTCCAAAGGGGAATAATGAAACAACCCCTTGAGTTCTCCTACCCTCTATTTCACAGGGAAGGACTTGGTAGGGCTGGCAGACACCACAGACCTTGATCTTCTCAGCTGACCACCTGAGCTCAGATCAGCGTGAGGGGCATGAAGCAGCCAGTCAAAAATTGCTCTTAGAACAAGCTCATGCTCAGATTGAGTACTGCCCATAATTTCTTCCTTTCCATATGCTGCTGTCAACTTGGAAACTGCAGAGATAGTGTTCTGGAGACTTTTAAAGTGAAGAAGGCTTTAGGGAAAGGCTGACCGCAGATGATAGACAGCAGTTGTGACTGAGAAATCACTAAGAACAGAAAAGCTGGAGGATGCTACAGGAGCGACCATAGAATCAATAAAGGAGAAGAGAACATGTTTCTCACAAGACCCTTTACAGAAATATCTGAAAGTACCAGACTGTAAGCAGGGAAGCAGATGTCTAGTGGTTGGCAACCCTGTACGTAGCAGAGGGTTGAAACTAGATGATAATTATGGTCCTTTTCAACCCAGGCCATCATTCTATGATTTCATGCTCAGGGTGAGTGGCATAGTCCCATGCTGGCTATGTGCTCTGACATGACAGCTCCACCATCTACTGCTGCTATTCTTCTTTTTCAAAGAAAAAACATGTTATAGACCTGTGATTTTCGTATTTAGCATGTTATATATGCAACAAGTTGCATAGCCAATGTGTACAATGTTAGCAACAATACATAATCATAAATTTCTCTTAGACTTTGGGTGCTGCTGAGAGAAATGCTGCAACTTCACTCCCCACTGTGACAACCTGAAGCAAGGCTGGTGAGAAAAAAGAAAAAAAAGCAGTTGCACTTTGAGAGTTCAGAGGAGTAAATAAAAAAATAAATGTGACACCAGTGAGAGATAGGGAAAAAAGTTTCTAAAAGATAATCCTCTAATCTAGCCTAGGTTCACTGCAAATCACTTCTTTATCAATGAGTTTTCACCTGAAAAATTACCTTTCCCTAAGAAAAAGAAAGCATTGACGCTTCTAAATAAATAATCAGGACTTGATGTACTGCCAAGGGTTTCTACTAAAGGCTAGGAAAATGATCTCTGTAATTAAAAATAAATTCAGAGTGTGCACATGTTTCTTTTTATGTTATAATACTGTCTCTTTGTGTATTATTTTTCTGGGTTTAAAAACAACAAAGGGAAAATAATTGGTAGAATATTAAGAACAGAAATAATAAAGTAAGGTTGGATGGAACGGTTTTCTTATTTTTCTAATAATTATTACAAGATTAGTTGCTATTTCACAGCTCCTGCGAGGGTGTTACTGGAGCTTCACTTCCAATGCCATAAGCACTTCAGCTGGCCTTTTGAAATCTTGGGATAAAGAATAGTTTGCCATCATTAATTTCACAGATTTCAGCTGAATTAACTCCTTTCTGGAAGATTGAAAACGTCATATTGTCTATTGCTGTATTGGGTCTAGTCTCAATGCAAAATCTAAGGCTGTCAGTTTTTGTAATACATGGATAAAAATCGCATCATAAATCTCACTGTAAGCCAGCTGCAACACGCTTACTGAACATAATGAACCCACTGAAAGGCAAGGGTATGTGTTCTTCTAAATATGAAAATACACACTCTTCACTGGAATTTGAAGGAGATTCAAACTTAGTTTCTCCATCCCCTGGGTTTATTCTGATTTACATCCCCCAGTTTACTAAGTCAGGAATTTTATGCTAATTTAAGTCCGAGGATCGTACTTCCAAATGAAATTTCTGCAATTCGTTGGACATGCAGGTGAAGAAATCTGAGATGCAATTTTGAGACAACTTGAAGACTTTCACATAAAAATCAAATGGAATTTGGACAATTTCAGGGTTCTAATTGATAGAATTTTATGATTCTAAGGTGAACTTTCTGCTAAAAGAACTACGTTAGGTCATCTATGTTGCAATTAAAAATTTAGAAAGGATTGGACTAATAGCAAGTTTCTATCCTTAATTCTTTGTTCTTTGACTTCCACACTTGTGGACTTTTAGGGCATTACTGCCCTGATCAACTTTAATATCTGTAGTATGGTACTGGCTATCAGTGGTACTGATGGTACCTAAAAATCTTAGCTCAGACATTAGATACGTAGTCAATGACCAGATTTCCAATCCTTGCAGAAATGAACTGACTGTGAGAAAGCTACATGCCATGTTGGGACCTCTCCAATCTCTGAATCAAAGCAAATTTCACTGAACTCACAAAACTGTGAGATTTAATGTTTAAGGCAAATTCATTAGCTACAGAGATATTTCCTATTGATCTTGCATACCTGCTTGGCTATTCTTGGTAGCCACAGAAAGCACATTGCCTCTCCTTCTTAAATAAGAACTCGTTCTTGGAATCAGGAGCCTCATTAGCCTTCATCAGACATTATCTAAACAACACATCTGTAGCTCATCTGTTAATGAAGATATATTTAATGTATGAGTTGGAACAGCTAGAAAAACAAACTGTGTTACCCTTGCTTCCTTGAAGACTAAGCACTGTCACTTTTGGTATTCTTTATGGTATCAAGACAAATATACTATGAATTCTTGTAAGAGAAGAAATCAGATCTCTCAAATAATGTACCTGTGAGGTAGGTGTTGTGTGAGGAATTGATGAAATAGTGTGACAGTGGTTGAGACATATCTTCATTTAAATCCAGTTTCTCAGGTGGAACAACGCCGTTTTCTTCTCCGCTCAGATATCGCATAAATCCATCCACTGATATCTGCCCTGAGAGAAACAGATAAAGGGAAAGCAGCCATTACTTTCAAGTACAGATTTTATGACATACAGATATTGTGGCAAAAACACACTTACACAATGGTGTATGCAACAGACTGGTCTTTATCTAGTTATTAATTTTTTTTCTTCTTAAACTGATCTAATTTTCAGCCACATCAGTTACGCACATCTCTTTACCTATACCAAAGAAAGATCCTTTCATAATCTGTGACAATCAAACGCTCAGGAAAATTAGAGTTACAAACTGCTACAAGAACAGAGAAAATAAACCATGGTGTACGAGGGAAGAAGGTATCCTGGGAAGCAAAGAAATCATCCCTGATGGAAGAAATCAAGAAATGAGCAAACAGAACCACTAAAAGAAACCAGTTAACTTCAATCACTTTTGAATATGACTCAGTGTGTTGTATGATGGCTACTAAACTGCAAAACAAAGTAAACCAACTAAATGAACTACTTTTCAACTGGGAGCTAATCTTTTTTATTTAAATCTTCTACTACTGTAGTGTTAGTGCTGATTTATATATTCAGAGTAAAAAAAAAATCCAGTAGTCTCTAATTATTAACGTAACATTAACGTAACATAATTAGTGAACTGAACCAATCAGATACATTCTTCTTTACCTGATATTTCTGCAGTTTTGTTTGGATTTCACATGTGGATTTACTTAGTTTTTTAGCTTCAGTTAATTCAGTTACTTCCCATAGTAAAATAGAACTTCTGTAGCTGCCTTGAGATTCTCCAAAGATACATGACTGATAACTTCCAACAGTGACAATTTCGACCTCTTGCCTCTACCCCAAAACAGTAGAGCATAGTATCTCTACCCAAAAAAATCTTTAGTCAATTGATTGCGGCATTGAAAATGGAACAGTTCAGTTCTACTCCTAGCACAGTTATGTTACTCTCTCTTTCAATGTCAACTCTTTTTTTATCTGTAGAACAGATAAACCTCAGATTTTTTTAACCTCAGATTTTTTTAATGTCTGAAAAGCAATGGGTAATCTGGAGTCATTTTTGTAAAGCTTATAATCACATGCAAATATAGTACATAAAGCTTTTACTTGGAATCTGTATTGGGATTTGGCTCTTGATCAGAGAGGAAGAGATGCAACATTCTTATGTTCATAACAACCTAAGATGGCAGCATTAAAATGAACCTATCCATATCACTGCATTTCTTGTCATAATACAGAGCAATGCAATTACCATTCATTTTTATGACAACAACTGTATGAAACAACTGGTTGGAAAGAAAAACATCAAGTCCACCCACAATGTTAAGACTGTAATCTCAGTGCACTCTTGCCAGGCTCCACAGCTGGTTTGTTATAGAGAAATTAATCATCCACAGACAGAGATCTACGTACTTTAATGTTTACCAGAAAAAAAAAAAAAAAAAAAAAGAGAAAATCAGAAAAAAAATCCCTCCACTGAGATTTTTAATGGAACAAATATTTATGAACAACCAATCTGTTGCATAAGTCTACCAGAGAGACATTATGGGTGCAAACAGTATCAACTGCCATCACGGAGTTTGCTTGAATTAAAATCCATTTAACATAAGCACTGCACCAAGTTCACAGGGATTTAAACACTGTGTATTTTCACACCAAGCAAGCAACATCCTACAGAAAAAAAAAAAAAAAGGTAAGATCTGAATGGGATGGCTGCTACATTACACTGACATGTAACTTCTGATGTTCTAAACAGCTCAAAGAGAGTTAATTTCAGTATCTCTATGTTGTTTTGAACATTGCTTTTTGTCAAAGCAAGATTCTTAAAGTTGCTCTGTCATTCCTTTTCCAGGCCAAAATGAAACACAGTGGCTTTTGTACGTATCAGTCCTCCAAAAACCCAACCCAGTGGCATCATAATCACACAACGTCAAGAAAGAAAAGCTTCTTTTCACTGTATAGAAGCTCATGTTAGCTCCTATAGGTGATGTTCAAACATCTCAAAGTGATCTCTGTTAATACTCAAGAGTTCACCTGAATAATTTGTGTTCTTGCAGTCCATCACTGTTTTACAAATAGAGAACTGAAGCTAAGGTTAATTAGTGGACAATACACCAAGGTAAACTTGTGGATTAAGTGAGGACTGCAAAATCTCTTCGAGTCTGTTTGGGTGCCTGTGGATTAAAAGGAAGCAAGGCTGAGGGCCTCTGTTTCCATTTTCATAACATAAAGCACAGTAAAAACTATTCACAAGTATAATTGCACACTTTCTGAGCTGCACAGTTATCTGAGCTTCTGGTGGTAGAATGTTATTTCCCACGTCATAATTAAGCAGTACGCATTTCATAAAGTGATCCAATTTGCAAGTATCAAAGCTGATATTGCACCAGTGAGAATTTGACTGTGAAACAGAGACGGCAGATGTCAGAGAGACTTTGTATCCTGGATATTAAAGAGTAGATTGTTTGTGACCAATGTCAACGATATTCTGAAGCCAACTACAGCAAGGATGATCCTCAGTGGAAAGCAATCAGAAATGAAATCGCCTCAATTTATTGGTATGATTTGTTCTTTGTTTTTGTAGGCATACTACAAATTTACCTCAGACATTACCAAGAAAAAATAATCTGTGATCATTTCTTTCAATGACACCTGTCACCCTTTATCTTCAGATACATATTACAAAGATTTCATGGTATGATTAGATATAGAAAGCAAGTAAAGACACATAATAGGAAAAGACACATGGAAAAGACAGACTAATTTCTCTACTTTTCTTATTTTCACCACATATATAAATTGCCTTACAATCATCTAAATGCTAGGCCTTCAAAGCAACTTTTAAATATTTGCGTGCTTTACGTATTTAAAATTGTAGTTAAATGGCTTGCCATTTTCTCTTTCAATGATGCCTTTTAAATTTGGCCTGATGGCACCAGAAGAGAGGCAGATCACGAGTATGACATAGCACTGTCCCCTTCAGCAGACACTGGAACTGAGCGCACCCTCAAGTTCACTGAACACACCAAGCTGAGAGGTGCAGTTGCTATGACAGAAGGAAATGATGCCATCCCCAGGGACACGGACAAAGTTGGAGAAGCAGGCCCACAAGTTCTTAATGAGGTTAATTCTGTAATTTATCTGATTAATTAGAGTTTTACAATACGGTCATTCAGCAATGCTTCATTAAAATATTCAGAAATTTAGAAATTACTCCTTTTTTCCTGTAGTGCTTGATTTATACATTCAGCACCTTTTCTCCCAGTGCCACTGGATCTCCTACTGCTAAATACATTACCATTCTAAGGAAAAAATCGCACACTAACACCCATGTATTTGCCACATGCACAAAGCTTCCCTTCATCACCACATGTACTTTAGATTCGTTAGCTTTGGGCAGCTGCCGGCTGCCCGCCAGGCCTCTCCCTCATCCCCCTTCTCAAAAGGAGGTCAAAGGGGAGTGAAAATAAAAGCTAAAGCTTGTGAGTGAAAACAAAGGTAAGGGATAACTCACCAGTTACTGCCACAGATAAAACTGATTCACCTTACAGGAGATTAACAGCATGTTAGGCAATTAAATCCGGAGTAGGATAGTTAGAAGCAAAGACGAAAACTAAATCTCCTTCCCTCCACCTTCTTTTCCCACGTTTGGCTTCATTCCCCAATCCTCTCTCACTCCCCCATCTGGCACAGGGAAGGGGGAATGCAGATGGCTCCAGCCTAACATCCTGCAGGTGGAAGATACCCATCTTCTCTGGTGGAGGCTCTGGGGGGCGGCCAGGCAGCGCCTGCCCCAAGGCTGCAGCCCTCCCTCAGGGCTCACAGGGCTCCTTTGCACACTTTTCTCAACAAGTGCTTTGCAGACCTGCAGCACTTTGCACTTTCTTAAACCTTCTTTCCCAGAGGCGCTGCAGGCATTGCTGAACGCTAAGCCCCACTTGCAGTCTTGGAACCTTCTAGAGCGTTCTGGAAACAGCCACAGTCAGCAGCAGGGAACAGCCCCAGCTCCCCTCATAGGGGGCCCCACGGCCAGGCTCCACCCCTTCTGCTCACACAGCTGAATTGCCTTCACCTGTGCTCCCAAGGCTGACCGGTCCTTTCCCCAGGTGCTCAATCAGTGGTTCAGGCTGTGACTCAGCAGTTCCATACACACCTCAACTTTTATATAACTACAGAAATGAATCTGAGCAATAACTTAAAAGAGCTAGAGGTGCTGGAAGCTCTGAAAATATTTTTCCCTCCCTCTCTTCACATTTAAGAATTTTAATGCCCTTCAAAGCCTCTTCCCCAAATGAGAAGGAAGCTGCTGAAGGAACAGGACCTTGACTCCTACTCTGCATGGGTCCTGGGTTATTCCTGCTTTTCTTTTCTGCGTTGCGGATTTAAAAGCTGCTTGCATTTCAGTTGCACATGCCACAACATCCTTCCTCTACAGTCCCCTTCTCCCCTTCACTTTTAATGCTTAGAAGCTGAACATCATATGCCATTCACTTGGTGTGAAATTTGTCAGTGATTGACCTGCTAGCTGTTTTCAAACCTCATTCTCCAATACAGAAAAGGAGAGGAAGACCATTCAGGGGACTTTAGGAATGCTCCCATGCTCAGTGTTTCAACTGCAACAAAACGTGAAGCAGTCTGTGAGCAAGACATTCCACAACATATCTTGAATAGCTCCTGATGACATGCTTGGCTGTGAAATCCATGCAGAGAAAAGTCACAAGATTCACAGTCAAGTCAACTAAACTTGATATTTTTTTCAGGAAATTTTGGTAGGAAAGAGAAGTGATTTCTTAGCGAAGGATGATATATTTAACATGGCTGCTGACAGACACTTGAATTTCTCGGCTGTGATCAGCTTCATTAAGTGAAACGTGAAGTGCTTATGCAGCAGCTTGATCTTTTTCTGCATCTCTGGCTCCATCTGATTGCTTCAAAACAGTGACAAGGGTAGTGAAAAGCCCTGAGGATTCCACAAGACTTTATTAACAGCTACAACTACATGATTGCATACTTTCTAGATCTTTTATACA